GGGTATTTTGTACAATTTTCAGTTCCCGGTTACACATAACATCGACTCATTTAATAAGAATTGTGATCACGTTGAATGATTTGTTTAAACGTGATTTCAGAACAATTCACGTGATTCCTCGTGATGCTACGATATATTTAGGAAGTTTGTTATTGTGACTCTTCTGTTGTTGGTGTTGGTATTGTTGCAACCAAGGGACATGTTATTATTGTAATTATATCTTTACGACGCACTCCGATCTCGACAATAAACAAGCACAAACACTGTGGTTGCATTAATTTAATGTGTTAACTACTAATGTGTTCATTATATAGATAATCTCGCCCGAATGACTTTTGATATCAAAAGACACGAGGGTGAGATTTTATTTATCATCCAACATCATTCTTCCAACTTTTTCAGTTTGTAGAAAGTAATATGCAGTGTCTTAAGTGTAAAAAGTACTGCTAACAGCTTTCAGTAGACTAACATCTAGTCTCTGAAATGAACATATATCGTACAGAAAGAAACAGTTGTTCAGTTATCTTAATAAAAATATAATAAAAGGGAGCCCAGTGACTCTCTTCATTTTCAGATACTAATACTGCAGTAATCTAGACTTGCCAAACATTATAGACTTGCATGGGCTGTATTTGATATATATTTGTATCAGGGTCTGTAAGACAGACTAAGCTTTCAATAGCAGAGCCATTAGTGCTGTCAATTGATTGTGACATCATGGTAACCAATGACGTCACAATGGTCTGCAAATCATTGTGATGCAATTTCATTGCAGCGATATCTACGATGTAGATATCGCTTGATCTCACCCAAGCGATATCTCCCCTGGGAGCCAGTTTTGGATGATCAATAACACTTGCAAAGGTGAAATTAAAAAAATATATTTTCATTATGAGTTACATACATACATGTATAGCAAAAAAGGTCACCAAGAAAAACGTCATGACTCGGACTAAATGTAACCATTTCCAGACAAACAGGGTTGTCACCTTCACAATCATTGTGTATGATATCTAGCAATAGACAGAGCCAAGTCCCGCCATATCTATATAAGGGACACAATATGTCACAGATGAACGCTTGTAGCCTCCTCGTGAATGATTTGAGGTGAAATTGGGTTTAACGTCGCGTCCAAGATTATTGCACTTATATAGCGATGTGCATGTACGTGTGTGTGTTTGTGTGGCTGCTTGTACTGCCGATTTATAGTGCTAGCTCACTGAGATACCATGCCGCAGTTTAACATGAATACCCCACTCAGACACAGTATACTGACTCCGAGCCGACCAGTCCTTGTTTTAGCCCCTTAATGCCGAGCGCCAGACAGGGTAACAGCAAGTACCATCTTTTAACGTCGTATAACATATAGCAATAGACAGGACAATACACTATAGACAGAGCCAAGTCCCGACATCTTTGTATATTATGTTAAATAACGGAACAGAACGGACCCAATGGTTCGAAGCCGGGGCAAACGCGAGAAACATCCCCTAATATGCTCGTGCATGCCCGAACATGCTTGTCTTAATAACGGATTTAAGAGAGTGTCGGGTGGTTCCAATGGGGCTGCGTGGTTGTGCTGTCAGCATCACATGTACCAAGGTCGTGGGTCGTTGCTCATAATATCCAGTATTGGTTTGGGTGGACCAGACCGCGAAGATCCGGGGTAGAATAGGTCTTCAGCAACCCATTCTTGTCGTAAGAGGCGACTATGTGATCGGATGGTCAGGCTCGCTGACTTGGAATTCGCTATCGTCGTATTCCAATTTCGTAGATCGATGCTCATGATGTCATTCACTGGATTATCTGGTCCAGACTCGATTATTTACAGACCGCCGTCAAACAAACAAATACTTTAGGTAAGCCACACTCGACCTGTACATGATATATATACAGCGCCGGGCAAACGAAGGTACATGTATACGCCATGTTTTTTGGTAGCTAAATGTGAAACAAAAAAGAAATGGTTATTCGACGGCGATGTATTTGATACGGGTATCATCGTTGTTTTGGACCATATTTTTGCAGTGTGTCGGCGGTTGTTTTCAGGTTAGTAGCATTTGATAACGTTGGTAATATGTTGGTCAAATCCAATTATTAAGTGTATACTTTCTTTTGTCGGGCAATTGTAAGCTGTATATTGCCCATTAGCGCTTAAAACAACCTTCACTCACTCACTCACTACATCGAATCTTAAATCTCGTAATATTCTCTTGATCGACATACACATTTAAATATGTCTTCAAATATATGTTTGTCTTCGGATTGGCTAAACACAAACGGACTCGTTTACCCAGCCTGTCTGTGATAGGCTTTTCGCTGTGTCTATTAATTATACCCTACAACTTCTAAATAGTCTGAGCTGTTTTCAAGGGTGCCGTCGTACAGAGCGATCTTAGCGCTAAGGTGATCGTAACTCCCATACTTTAACACAGACTTACGACAGTCGTAGCGCTAAGGTTGTCTTGTACAACGCCACGAGGCCAGAAATGCGTTCTGGTTTAACCAGCTTTTAATTAAAATTATATGCATGGCCTAGGCCCTTTTCTGAAAATGATTGCAGCGTCCTACGATATGCCTTGTTTGGTTTAACGATACCACAGCACTAAGTTTTTTCGTGGAACTCTCCGAATGGAAGTTTATTCATTGTAATAGTTTTCATGATTGAAAACATATGGTGTCTGGCATTATGAAAAATGGCCGTCAACTTGTAAACTCTCAGTAAGTCAGGGGTTGCGTCACGGTGATGGGGGCGTTACCAGGCAACCTGGCTAAACAAACATGGAGGAATTATATAATTAGACACAGGTTTTCACTTCTTCACGTGGTAAAATGAATTTGGTATTATAAACTGTAACATTATAAACATCTCTCTCTCTCTCTCTCTCTCTCTCTCTCTCTCTCTCTCTCTCTCGACCGCCTCCGTGGTCTTGTGGTAGAGCGTCCGCCCGGAGAGCGGAAGGTCCGGGGTTCGATTCCCGGCCGCGTCAAACCAAAAGACGTTAAAAGATGGTACTTGTTGTTACCCTGTCTGGCGCTCGGCATTAAGGGGCTAAAACAAGGACTGGTCGGCTCGGAGTCAGTATACTGTGTCTGAGTGGGGTATTCATGTTAAACTGCGGCATGGTATCTCAGTGAGCTAGCACTATATATAAATCGGCATCAGTCCGGACTAGTACAAGCAGCCACACACACACACACACACACACACGTACATGCACGTCGCTATATAAGTGCAATAATCTTGGACGCGACGTTAAACCCCATTTCACCTCACCTCAACTCTCTGTCTCTCTACCTCTCTGTCTCTCTGTGTCTCTCTGTGTGTCTCTCTGTCTCTCTCCGCACACATTTAATATACGTTCAAGGAAACTGTTCTTCGGATAAGATTTTGTACTTCCTTTGCAAAAATTATATAACTTCCTTTGTGTTTGTCCGAGTGCCCCTTTAGCCGAGGTTAAAAATACAAATTTTGTTTTAATTAGGAAATTCTTCTTGATCGAATCTCTGTGTAGTGTTATTACGTTTTGACATTAATATGTTCGTCCTTACATTTCTATAATTACATAATTTGATACGAATTGATACTCTGCGTTTAAGAGTAGAAGTATATATATATCTAGCATTATGTTTCTGGAGTAACCGATTCGTTATGTTTACAGAATGACATGGTTCTCAGTACGTGTGTAGGGGGGCGGTCGGGTAGCCTAGTGGTTATTTCCTTGATTAAACGCCCGGTAGTATATTTCTTTCAGACACTCTTTACCCGATTTGGGGACGGTCGGGTAGCCTAGTGGTTAAAGCGTTCGCTCGTCACGCCGAACACCCGGGTTCGATTCCCAACATGGGTACAATGTGTGAAGCCCATTTCTGGTGTGCCCCGCCGTGATATTGCTGGAATATTGCTAAAAGCGGCGTAAAACCATACTCACTCACTCACACTCACTCCAACTTGGTCCAAGGACTCTGAGATTGTGACGCTGCTATTGTTTTACGAGCAATTTAGTTTTAACAAAAGAGATAATATGTCAGAAAATCTGTTCAAATTGATGATTATTGTATTTATTATGATTAAACTGAACAATGGCTCCACAGATCCAGGGCCAATGGTATAGCGTCAAAACAAGAGATAAACAATCTTAAACTTCTTCACAAGGTAAGCTACATTCGTCAAAACGTTTGACAATACAGAGTGATACAATTGTTGTATACATTAGAACTGTGTCACTGCTATGCACAGCATGGGGTACTGTGGGTAACAAATTTTCCTGGGGTTATTAATGTATTTTCTTATCTCTCTTACCCCTCTCATCTCCTATTATACAGTAAACTACGGTTATAACGAACTCAAAGGGACTACTAATTTTAGTTCGTTATAACCGTAATTCGTTATAAGCATATATACAGCATAACTACATCATATAGTCGGGACTAAAAAGTCAGTTCGTTATATCCGTTAGTTCGTTATAAGCGTGTTCGTTATAACCGTAGTTTACTGTATGTAAAACCGTGGTAGAGAGAGAGTTCGATTTAATAATGTTCTCATTTCTAAACTGGAGCAGGGGTTAAAAATATTTATGTAACTAAATTTAATTGGAGAATTTTTTATCGCTAGACACATTGATTATGAGTAAGCCATGATTGATCAATTAAGTTCATACCAGTGGTATGTCACGTGACTGCTTATTATGATACACAAATATAGCATAGTAACATCCGGTGCCATATTTATTTTCTAATTATTTTAATCAATATATTTCTATTTTAACACAATAACAATAACTTCATTCAAGAATCATTTTAATTTGTGAAGTATGTTGTGATATATGCATGCATATTTACTGTCAAATATAACCGAATAACATATTTTGGTTGTTTAGAATGAAAACGTTACAATTTGCCTCAGGCGATATATGATCTGTTTCCGACAGACGCCCCAAGCTTAGTTAGTAATAATAGTTAGTCGTAACGAGATCAGGATATAGAGCATTGGCGCTGAAGCAACATGGCGCGGCTACGATTTCCAGGCCGTCCAGGATATAGATTCGATCGGTTAGGTGTCAAATACGGTGCCGATGAAGCTAGGAATGTAAACGATCCAAGTCTTGCAATTGTTGCATACATTCACCATGGATTACGCCAATTTAGAGAACTTTTCGGAGAATCCGACGAGGTAATTCACCCTATATCGCATCTTCCTGGTCAAGATGGCGGACTCCGCCAGATTCCTTCCGATAAAATTTCAGATTTTTGCTAATTCACGCTTTATTAATAGTTGTCGTATCGATTTTTGCATAGGCTGTAGTCGAACTAAACGTGTTTGCTTGGTTTCAATTACTTGTAGTGCTATTCATGCTCTAAAATTAGTATTATTGCACATGATAGGCAGCATTTTTTTGGTCAATATTTTCAAGATGGCGAGAAAGAATCGCGTGTTTCTGATGAAATGTACGCAGAAATACCAAGTGACATCACTTTGGTTTTTACGTATGACACATACACAAACCTTTTCGACAGTTGTCATGAGAAATATTACTCCACACTTGACCTAAACAACGATGTTTCAACAGGCACGCCTACAAACTTGTAGCCCTGCCCTATCCTCTCCCACACAAATCGTCAGTATCCTGGAACCGAGGTTGAAAGTCAGGCAGGGACAGGTTTCGGTACCCCCCCCCTCAGACGCTGCTCAATATCCTGTTGCTAATAGGAAAATATATTTTAATCACATGGCATCTGCACAATCACCAGTCAAATAGCTGCATCATAATTATTTCATGATGTTTTGAATATTTTGATTTTGCCTTTTTATTTCCTTAGATGCTTTGAATAACAATTCAGCATTTATGTCACTTTAATTTGTGAAAAATATAAGTTTTGACATGTAAAACCTATTTTGATACTAATACTGTTGTATCATGTTCAGTAATGTCAGTTTCTTGTATTCTCTTGGTGCTTATAAAAGATAAATCAGGAACTATACATATAAATATGTAAAGTCTTTGATTTTGAGACAAGAGTAATTAAAACCAATAACCCAACATTTATGCTGACATTTAAGCGTCTTTAGCCAGACACACACACAACCAAGAACCAACACGCATTGAATCAAATGCCGTAGCAAATCTACCCTGTATACAAATACAAATTTCAGATATGCTTTGTTTTAATAGTTTCCAAACATTTCAGCATTGATCCACTGTGTTTAGAAAGATTACATGAGAGATAGACATTCAGTAAGCTTTGTAAGAAAGAGCTCTCTCTATTCTTTAAATAACTGTACAATTACAAAACATTTACTACAGGCCTATTTAGTCACTCCACTCAAAACCCAAGTAAATATGATTGTAACATTTAATTCAGCTTAGTTTTGTTGGCTAAAATAAAACATAACACAAATATATGATGAAAATTTTTCGGGAAAAAAACACACCAAAAACTAGCTAACTTAAGAGTTTGGGCACAGTGTATACATGGTATAGGGAAGTAATTATTATGTACCGGTTATTAGTTGAAATTAATTATGTATGAAAGTCATGGGATCCTTGTCATATCTCTGTAAACGAGTAAAATATTTAAGGTGTCTCTAGGTTAGAATACTGTTGTCATTCCTCAGAAGACTCCAACATGGTCCGGGGCGGCCTAGTGGTTAAAGCGTTCGCTCGTCACGCCGAAGACCCGGTTTCGATTCCCGAAATGGGTACAATGTGTGAAGCCCATTTCTGGTGTCCCCCCGCCGTGATATTGCTGGAATATTGCCAAAAGCGGCGTAAAACCATACTCACTCACTCACACTCACTCCAACTTGGTCCAAGGACTCTGAGATTTTGACACTGCTATTTGTTCATCTACTGAGGCAAGGGAGTAACTGACTATAAAAGTCCGGTTTCCACTCTTGCTGAACTAGGCTGGTATTATAGAGTTACATTTTGGCTGGACAAACAAGTCTATGCATAGTCCAATCAAACGAAGCAAAGCGTCAAACGAAATTGACATCCAGCTAGTAAACTGCCGTGAAAATTTCGATTGCAGGATTTGCAAAGCATGTGTATCGCCAAATCGGCGTCATCAGACTTTTTCCCAATCTTTTCATGTTTTTATCAAGGTGCCCACGTTAGTAGATACACTTCGCGATGTAAGACCTGTTTTATCACAATACAGATTATGGTTATCGATCAGATCGTCTTGACTGGGTGCCGACGTTTTGTTTGAAGCAAATACAAGTGATTTGAGAGGTGGAATCTGATTGGTCAATAGGTAGGGACATAGAAGGGACATAATCTGTAATAGCGACTGGTGGCGCTATGACAGGGCTAAGAAATTCCAGCCTTGTTTGGCAAGGGTGGAAACTGGACTTTTGCAGTCAGTTAACTCCCTTGACTCTGGAATATGTTATTTGTTATTCCAAACCTCACTACTAGAGAAGTGCCCAAATACAAAAATGTATTTCCTTTATTAAACGCCCGGTAGTGTATTTCTTTCAGACACTCTTTACCCCATTTGGGGGTGGTCGGGTAGCCTAGTGATTAAAGCGTTCGCTCGTCATACCGAAGATCCGGGTTCGATTCCTGACATGGGTACAATGTGTGAAGCCAATTTCTGGTGTTCCCCGCCGTGATATTGCTGGAATATTGCTAAAAGCGGCGTTAAACCATACTCACTCACTCTAAATAGTCTGAGCTGTTTTCAAGGGTGCCGTCGTACAAAGCGATCTTAGCGCTAAGGTGATCGTAACTACCTTAACATAGACTTACGACAGTCGTAGTGCTAAGGTTGTTTTGTACAACGGCACGAGGCCAGAATTGCGTTCTGGTTTAACCAGCTTTTGATTAAGATTATATGCAGGGCCAAGGCCTTTTTCTGAAAATGATTGCAGCGTCCTACGATATGACTTGTTTGGTTTAACGATATCATGTATTTCCTTGATTAAAAGCCCGGTAGTATATTTCTTTCAGACACTTTTTACCCCATTTGACGGTCGGGTAGCCTAGTGGTTAAAGCGTTCGCTCGTCACGCTGAAGACCCGGGTTCGATTCCCGACATGGGTACAATGTGTGAAGCCCATTTCTGGTGTCCCCCCGCCGTGATATTGCTGGAATATTGCCAAAAGCGGCGTAAAACCATACTCAGTCAGTCAGTTACCCCATGTGTTAATCACAAAAGACAGTGATGGGGAGAATTTTTTGCATAAAAACTACCCGGCGTTTTATCAAGACCCGTCGTTTAATCGAGGAAATCCAGGCACTTCAAGGCTGGTGTGAAATATGACAGTCTCCAGAATGTTTACCAGAGTTGAAGGACAGAAATTGGTGATATGAGGGAGTGAAAAATTAGAGAAATTATTTTAACATTTGAACAAGTTTTCATGGAAGCAGTATTTGTCTGTGGCACCTGTTGGGTACCTGGGAAAAAACCCTACATCAACGATCATCATGATCATGTGCACAAATGATAAGAAAAGAAAAAATAAGCTTTGCATTTCTGACCATTCAGATAAATTTCCAACAAGAATCTCTTTTATCATGTATGATGTCATTGAAATATTGGTGACTGGCGTCAAACACCCAAAAGCTTGTCTCACAATTTAACACAAGCATTCATCCTTCTATGCTCGGTGACTGGTTTATGGAATGTCAATGTACCCTGATCTCGTGGATTTTGCTAATAAAATCAATCACTGGATTTTCTGGTCCAGACTCAATTATGTGCAGGCTGCCTTTATATCGCTAGAATATTGCTGAGTGCAGCTTTAAACAATTTATACACACATTAAGAAAAATACTTTTTGCCACTGACTTCAGCTTGGTTTTGTTTCTGATATAAATATGTGATGCTATATCAAATTGTCCAATCGATTGCGCCCATGAGAAATTATTAAGTTACCATGGTTACTGATAAGACATGAAGGTGGTGATGTCACTTCCTGAAGGAACCTAGGGTATGGTTTTATGGCCGAAAAAGATTGCGACCTATAAAAAGTCAGACTAGACACAACTGATATCCACAAAAACGTAAGGCTATTGGATTGATTGGAACTAAATAAAATTGAACAAATAAATATGATTTTTTATCTGATATTTCTGATAGAAATAATGTCAAATGTTCTTTACACTCCAAGGTCAATCCGTGCCAGGGTATTTACCACACATGAAGTCATGATAGTTGGGGCGGTCGGGTAGCCTAGTGGTTAAAGTGTTCGCTCGTCACGCCGAAGACCCGGGTTCAAATCCTGACATGGGTACAATGTGTGAAGCCCATTTCTGGTGTCCCCCGCAGTGATATAACTGGAATATTGCTAAAAGCGGCGTAAAACCAAACTCACTCACTCACTCATGATAGTTGATGCATAGAGGTTGTTTCACATTTTCATTTCGTAAAAATCTTATTAGGAATACAAAGTTATTGTTTGGCGACCATAATACATGTTTTATTCCTATGCATATTTTCAACTCGGAAACCCTGTCTAAGTTATTGGAACCGTCCGTGACTATTGTGAGTGAGAAGGCATCACATTGATGGAGCTTGAAAGTAGTTCCAGCTAAGCGACCTTATTCGCATATTTATCGGATCGTAATACCAAGTTTATTGAATTGGTGTATAACGTCAATAACACAAGCCTTTATATGATACACTATTATGGAGGATGCGTGCGGCATGATTCAAGAGCATTATGACCACAGTTAGCGGATGACGCTGCCGTCAATAGTATTCTATTAAACATGATAACAAAGACTACCATAGGTTGTCAACTACAAGTTCGGGAGGAATCTCTGTGTGACAGAATATGAATAATCAGTATGGTCTGTTTCAAAGTAAATGCACGTTCAATACCAACAAATTCATGTTGCCATGGTGACTGTTATGAGTTATTTAATTTTCATGGAAATAAGCCTGACTGGCAAAATTTAGTAAAGTGACTAAAGTCAGTGGTAGAAACAAACATTTTTAGTCCACTAGTCCTTAAAATGATAACATATAGCAAACCCTTAAAAATGGCAAATTTCTACTTGTTATGAGACCTTAACTATTGGGCAGTTTGGCAAGGACTACGGGACTAGTGCCAATTTCTAACGCTGCTAATGTCCAGTATTTCTTGCACTTTTGAACACTTGGCATGTCTGGACAGCGGTAGAAACTAACATATTTGGTCCACTAGTCCTTAGAATAATAATATAGCTATTGGTCAGTTTGGCAATGACTACAGGGTGCCGTTGTACAAAGCGATCTCATTGGTGAGGTTATCGTACCTCCCATACCTTAACATAGACTTGCGACAGTTGTAGTGCTATGGTTGTTTCGTACACCGACGGGTGCCGTGATTCGCTGTGCAGAGTTGTGTCCCTTGGGCACGCCAGAAACCTATGATTGTGGGTTCGAATCCCAGTTCACCCCGATTATGTTTCTAGGTTTGTCAGCACCATACCTGTGCTCGTAGGTTTCACCGAAGTGGTAAACGTCTGAGACCTGCATCACTTTGGGCTTCCCTCCCACCTTAAGCTGACACGCCGCGATATAACTGGAATACTGTTAAAGCGGCGTTAAACCCAACTCACTCACTCACTCACTCACTAATGCTGACTGTGTCGTCCATCTTTCATATCTTCTCCTTACTGCTGGACCATTGAAGCTTAAATTTCACATACTTTTTAACCGGTGATGACACCCCATTTGTTCAAAAGGCTGAGGGAGGTCGGGTAGCCTGGTGGTTAAAGCATTCGCCCGTCACACTGAAGACCTGGGTTCGATTCCTGACATGGATACAATGTGTGAAGCCCATTTCTGGTGTCCCCCGCCGTGATATTGCTGGAATATTGCTTAAAGCGGCGTAAAACCATACTCACTCACTCACTCACTCACTCAAAAGGCTGAATACAATTTGCAATATGGCCGCCATGTTTTGAAAAACAAGGTCAAACCCTCAATCATAACAGTTAAATTAAGTTCCATGTGCACACTCATGAAATAACAGTTCTTGTACAATCCATCCTTGTGATGCTGTTATTCCCATGATGCCAATGGTAAGTGTCGTTCACTTGGGTAAGCCACACAAGCAGGAGAAAGGAGTACAGGAACACGCTTAATGTAAGGGGGATTCATGAAACTGACCCAAACATCACAAATTGAAAAAGTACCAATCTCCATGAAGAAAGGGGGAAGCTTCTAAACTGCTTGTTATCCGTTGTTTGATAGGCATTTCTTAGAAGTTGACGGTTGACAAAGTAGATACAATTTATGGGTAACAACTGACACAATTTATGGATTATAACTTCTTTTATTACCGTATTCGACGCAATAAGCGCTTACGGCGATATTTTGCTAATATATTGGCTAGTGAAAAATCCCAATTAGCACCCTTTCCGATTGATCAATGTACACAAGACTTATTTATTCGTGTATAATACCTGTTTTATATGCATCCTTAATTATGGGAAATTAAATTCCGGAAAAATGTATCTGTCGTATATAAATATTTCAGGCTGTCAGCATAAACCACGAAATTTAACTTTCAACTCTGTTGTTTTTCCCAAAATAATATTCTAATAAGAGCCTCGTTCTTATTTTGAGAGCGCCCTGGGCGCTTATTATGTCAAATACGGTACTCTTTAGGCGATGTTTCGGTATAGATCCTTATACCGTTTAAAAGCAAGACTGTTAAGGATCTATACTGAAACATCAGCTTTAATTAAAGAAGTTGTCCTTAAATTGTGTCTATTCTGCTTATCATTTAATTGATGGTGAAATAATTAAGATTGATCTAAATTCAAAAGTATTTTGTTCTGTTGGAACACTATATTCTTCAGGGCACACCTAAATGTCTTTGTTAACAGCTTTTGGCACACTTAAAAATATGTCTCTCCAGTGGTAGTTTATTTTTTGCAAGCATTACTTTACTACGGACGAGTTGTGAATATCATAAATTCAAACAATTGGAAACTTTCCTGTTTGATTGTGAGCTTCTGACATGAAATATTCATGAAGAGTTAAATTGAGACAGTTTCAATGGGTTATTGGATCAATATCAGGTATTGGGGCAGACGAGATCTTGGTGACTTCAGTGAGGTTAATTAAATTGTTGTTGCCACTCGCCATCCCGCAGCTGTTGTGGATGTCTGTCATGGTCCAGTGATGCTTTTGTAGACTTCACTTACAGCGATGGTACATGAATTTAAAATTAGCCAGAATTTAGAGGTAGACATTAAAGCAAATTCTTTTTGGGGGCTTTTGACTGTAAACTTTGCATGTCTATCAGACTCATGCTGAACTTTTGCTATTTAGGAATTTTAGAAATTTTTATTTTTTACGTTTCCATGGTAACAAGGTGTTCTTAGGTTCTATAGGGTAGAGTTTGTTTCCGGAGCATAACTAAAAAACTGTTTAATACTTTCTTACAAAACTTTGCATGTCTACCAGGCACATACTCAACTGGTGCCTTTTGCTATTTAGGAATATTATAAATTTTTATTTGTTACGTTTCCATGGCAACAAGTTGGATTTAAGTTTTAATATAGGGAGGGTTCACTTATGGAGTATATATAACAAATAAACTGTTAAATATTTCCTTGCCAAACATTGCATGTCTATATATAAAGCACATACTGAACTGGTGCCATTTGATATTAAGGAGTTTTAGAAATGTTTATTTTAGAATTTCCATTACAGCTATTTTGACATGGGCTAAGAGATTTGGGACTATAACGTGTTAAAATGGGAGGGGGATATCGATGACTTCGTTGACTAAATGCTTGTTTAGTTATTGTTTCTTGTAATTTGTCAATTGTTTGCATAAAAAAAACCCCACAGAAACACACTTGTTTTACTTTCCATTTCATATGGATGGTTAAGGTGGATCTTTTGTGGACTCATTACATAGAGAATTGCACATTTACTTGTGGTTACTTTACAGTCAGCTGCGGGATGTCATCTTTCTGATGACTCTTGTTGGATTGATGTAGATGCGCTTGTCTGGTATTCAAATGAGTGTTTATGTTTATTTTTTACCATGACACTCAGCAATATTCCAGCTATTGCAGCTTGGAAATATTCATGTCTGGACCAGACAATCCAAATATTGAAATTGTTAGCAATGATCCACACGTTTGGGGGATGATGACAAGCATTGAACCAGTGAGTGAGTGAGTTAGTTGGGTTCAATGCGCTTTTAATAGTATTTAAGTAATATCGCGGCGTGTCAGCTTAATGTGGGAGGGAAGCCCTAAGTGATGCAGGTCTTATACGTTTACCACTTCGGTGAAACCCACGAGCATGGGTATGGTGCTGACAAACCTAGAAACATAATAGGGGCGAAACGGGATTCGAACCCACAATCATAGAGTTCTGGCGTGCCCAAGGGACGCAACTCTGCACAGCGAATTGCGGCACCTTAGACGACTCGGCCACCCGTGCCCCCAGCATTGAACCAAGTCATAGAGTGTGACCACCTATATAATCCATTAGGTCACCCAGAGCTACAGATAAGCTGCATATTTCCGTAAAATACCCCCAAAACTATTCAAAACCCAATTACTCTCAATTTACTTGCATACAGAAATACATGCATTAAATAAAAAACTCAAATATAGCTGGATATAGCTCAGTGCGGCGTTAAACAACAAACCAACAAACATCCGTTCGTAGATTTAGGTTCGCCCTGCGGCAAGAACACATGGATCAATCTACTATTGGTATTAATGGCTTTTGACAATTTGGTATGATATCGAATATGTGAATATTGAATAGGTCAAAGTTCACATGATCAGGATGAAGGTGGTGTGAAAACTGGATTGATGGGATATAGGGACATACTGGCGATCCAGTTCTCCATTTTGAAGTATCATGCCTCCATTATGTTGTGGACACTGTATAGAGACACCATGGACCGATGCATTCATGGTTTCAGATTGTGTTCGTTTCAAGGACATTGACTCACTAATTGTCTTCCAGACTGGCCTTTACATATTTTCAAATTTCATGAAAGAATGTCCTGTCAAAAGAAATCAAACCATTTGTTTCAAGCAATGTCCCCATATATTTTTATGATGCATGTCTCTGGATTGTCTGGTCCAGACTCGATTATTTACAGACCACTGTCATATAGATGGAATATTGCTGAGTGCGGCGCTAAACAACAAACAAACAAAAAATCATTGTGTGTAATATATAGGTGAGGTGAATTGAAATGGGGTTTAACGTCGCGTCCAAGATTTTTGCACTTATATAGCGACGTGCATGCACATATGTGAGTGTGGCTGCTTGTACTAGTCCGGACTGATGCCGATTTATAGCGCTAGCTCACTGACATACCATGCCTCAGTTTAACATGAATACCACACTCAGACACAGTATACTGACTCCGAGCCGACCAGTCCTTGTTTTAGCCCCTTACACAGTTAAGTCATGTGTTTCTGACCCTGAAACATGTTTATTATTGATTTGCCTCTGAAGATAGAGAATTTCCATATTTAGAAGATTACAATAAAATTTGTCTCTTGCCGTTTGTAGGAAGAAGACTTCGATGGCTTTACAGCAAAGGATGTACGATACGGGGAAAAGAAAATGGAGCGGGCCACGTCGGATCTTATCAAACAGTTGTTCAACTCGGAGGAGAAGGAAGCCGAAAGAAGCCCAGCACCCAGGACCAAAACAACGCGATTCAGTCGTACACGAGCCGGCCTGGAGACTCTCCCCCCCTCAGAACGAAGTGGGGGCAGGATCAAAGCAGTCGTGCGGAAGTCCTGCCACGAGTGGGTGAAAGGGGGGCTGGCCAAATCGCCCAAGTCTCACGTGTCGGCATCGGTTAAAGAAGTCCAACGCATGAAGCTGCCGAAAGATGGACAACCGAAGAGAATCGTCCGAGGGAAGCGTTTTGTGATAGGTCAGAGAAAAGAAAATGTCAAGTTTAAGAAGCCAGCACTGACAGTGAAATTAAAATCTTTTGATCCGTCCAAGAGTCCCAAACCTCGAGGTCGCCCGCCAAGGGTCAATAAGGTGAAAACTGAAATTATAAATAAAGTGGTGGAAAAAGTTCCCCGAAAAGTTGGGAGGCCTCGGAAAACAGGTATTCCAGAAAAAGAGGTTAGGAAAAAATTACCCGTTAAGGTTGTGTGTGTTCCGAAAACAAAGCAGACGGACAAGAAGAGGGCGAAACAACTGCTGGAGAAGGCTAAGAAAGGCCGAACCACCTTACAGAGTAGGGTGTCTCAACCAATCAAACCGAAATCGGATCCCAACGTGGTCCATGTCCCGAAACCGAAGAAGGAGTTTGTGTTGCCCACTGTGAGTTCAAGGTCGTCGCGTGTCATCATTCCGAACAAACGTTTCATCGAGGAAGATGGGTATTATGGAAAGGTTTGGAAGAAACCGAAACTGGACAAGTCTCCAGACGTCTCTCTCACTTCTCCCAAGGCCAAAGATGGGAGTGGTAAGAAGACGAAAGACACGCCTGGCGTTAAAGCGGCGAAAACACCCGAGAAAGGAGTCGGAAGTGATGGGAAAGATAAGACACCTTCACGCAAAAAGAACTCCGACAATTTTGCTAGTCCTGATGTTGTAATGAGCCCCATTTTGCATCCCAAGGGAGGCAACTCTGTCTCACTCTTCTCTTCGGTTGTGGCGGGGAAGATGAAAAAGGACAAGTCGTTGATAGTCGAAGGAAAGCGGCAGCGGAAACCAAGTCTAAAGGTGGGTATTCTCTGATTTATCCTCCAGAACTAGCTTGCACAGAAGATACATAACTTGTGTGAGATCAGGTGATATCTCCTAGGATATATTGCTACAAATAAATTGGGGGGCGGTGGGGTAGCCTAGTGGTTAAAGCGTTCACTCGTCGCGCCAAAGGCCCGGGTTCGATTCCCCACAATGTGTGAAGCCCATTTCTGGTGTCTCCTGCCGTGATATTGCTGAAATATGTGTAAAACTCACTCACTACAAATGAATTACATCATAATGCTTTGCAGACCATTGTGACGTCATCCGTTGCCATGACACCACAATCAAATGACATCACCAGTCTCTGCCACTGAAGCTGGTTAACTGCACTATTTACACTCAAGACAAGGGTTATTTAAGAAATAAAAGACACGTGGAAGTTGTTAATCGTTCAATAAAACACTGCAGGGAGAATAAACCATAAGGGGTGCATCCTGCATTGTTTGGGGCGGCCGGGTAGCCTAGTGGTTAAAGCGTTCGCTTGTCACGCCAAGACACGTGTTCGATTCCTGACATGGGTACAATGTGTGAAGCCAATTTCTGGTGTCCCCCGCCGTGATATTGCTGGAATATTGCTAAAAGCAGCGTAAAACCATACTCACTCACTCACTAACTCACTCCTGCATTGTTTTATTGTACGATAAACAACGACCTTGAGTTGTTTAATTTTAATATATTATATCAACATTACGTACAGCCTCTTTAGGATGTTAGTAAAAAGTCAACGCTTTGAAAATATTTACCCGTATTTAAATAATGATGACTCCCTGAATAGAATCCGACCACAGCAATGTTGGGCAGATCCATTTAATACACAGAGGGGGTTAAATTTGATCTTTCCTGCATATTCTCACACTTTTCACATTGATAATCTGTACCTTTTCTTCCAGTACCGATTGTTATATTTCGCCAACTTTTCGTTGCCCAGCTACATCTGTGGGGAACAACTCCCTAGACACTTTCCTCTCAAAATAGCATTGTCCAGTTTACGATGTCGTCAAGCTGCAAGCGCATGTTCAAATCTCCAGAAATGAGGTCATGATAAAACATCTTAAGTTACTGTTTACTGTCGTAAATCGCTGCCAACGCGATCGTTGTTTATGATAGTTTTTATTTTTTTAGTCGATAGTTTATGCATGCCGTGGGTTTATTACGTCGAATACGGCATTACAACTGGAACAAGAGGCAATTCGTCTCTTACATTTTGTGATTTTTCAATATTTATAATGATGAATGCGGGCAGGTCACTTTAAAGATGGACAGGCAACATTTATTGGTCATCTGCCCGACTGTCTTGTTGGGTTTTAAAATTATTTCGAACACTGGCTTGTAGTATCCAGGATAACATGAGGGTCTACATGGTGTACACGAGAGCAGTCAGGAGGGGTGTGATATATCTGTATTTCACGTGATGTTGCAGATGCGGATGAGGAAGGGGGAGATACCGCGGGGGATGCTGTTGGACATGGACGAGTCTTCCTCTGCTAGTCAGGAAAGCTCTCAAGGATCCTCCGAAAACTCCTCTAAATCGGTTGATCTGTTTCCCAAGTCTGTGAGTGCCTCTACTGGCGTGAGCGTGTTTAGCCGGGCAGGGCCGATGTCGCTGGGCAAGGGGGGACAGGACACGCTGGCAGCTAAACGCAGCGGGGACAACATCCTCCGGAAAGCTAAACTGCAGCTGAACAGAGTCGCAGTGAACCGGTCGAAAGCAGCTCTAGCCAGATCTCTGAAGGCACAGATGAAGAAGGAGGCCAAACTCCAGAGGCAGCAACTACGAAAGAAATCTTCGTTCTCCCCTCAGTCGCCAACCTCCCCCTTGGCACTGTCGCCGATATCTGGTACCCGAGCTTTCATTGACGGTCCTGGCAGTCCGCCACGTCCTCTGTTTGATAATAATAATCTACCTCTGTCTCCTGACAATGGTACGCAGTTGTGTTGATCATCTATAATTAATTATATGAGGTTCACTTCTGTTTCATTTATACAATTACTTGAGTATCTAAGTGAAGAATATGTTTAATGGAAACGTTTATTTGACAATTAATTTGTAATTGTCTTCAGCTGTGGTCATGTGGTAATTTGATGTGCAGAGTTGCATCCCTTGGTAGACCAGGATGTGGGATTAAACCCAAACTTAACACGAATAAGATGCATCGACAGTTCGGGGCATGGGTGGTCCAATCGTCTAAGATGCAACAATTCACTCTGCAGTTAAGGCATGGGTGGCCCAGTCGTCTACGACGCCACATTTCATTCTGCAGTGGTGTGTCCCATAGGCGGCAGAAACTAAGGTCATGGGTTCAAATCCCAGATTTGCCCTGATTAAGATCCTAGACTGGTAAGCACCAGACCCTCGCAGCACCAACGTGGTAAACGTCTTAAATCTGCATCACTTCGGGTTCATCTAATCACTCACTCACTGGGGGCACGGGTGGCCCAGTCGTCTAAGGTGCCGCGATTCGCTGTGCAGAGTTGCGTACCTTGGGCACGCCAGAAACCTATGATTGTGGGTTCGAATCCCGGTTCGCCCCGATTATGTTTCTAGGTTTGTCAGCACCATACCTGTGCTTGTGGGTTTATCCGAAGTGGTAAACGTCTGAGACCTGCATCACTTCGGGCTTTCCTCCCACATTAAGCTGACACGCCGTGATATGACTGGAATACTGTTAAAAGCGGCGTTAAACCCAACTCACTCACTCACTCACTCACTCACTCACTCACTCACTCACTCACTCACTCACTCACTCATTTGAATGTCATGACCCTCAGCACATGATATATGATCTCCAGTTCGTAAATCATTTAATGCGTACATCTTGATTGCTCCGAATCGTCAGTGATTATTTCCTGTTCCAGAAAAATCAGCTAAGGAGAAGATAACTCCTGTCAAACGTGGTTCCCATATATCCCCCAAAGTCATGTCATCTCTTGCCGCCAAGTTGGCCACGTCTGCACAACAGGAAGTGGAGGTCGTCATGGAGGGGGAAGAAAAGCCAGTAGAGGGGGGCACCGACGGCCGTAGCGGTGGCGGCGGCGGGCCACGCATCAAGCATGTGTGTCGGCGGGCAGCTATGGTTATACGCAAGCCGGTGGCGAAGTTCCCATCTCCGCCGTCGTTGCGACTGAGTGCGCTCCCAAGTCTGGAGAAGGAAAAGATGCTGCTTGAAGAGAGCAAGGCACAGAGAGAGAGAGGTGAGGGAATTGTGGGAAAAGCATGTTCCCGAGGCAAGGGAATTGTGGGAAAAGCATGTTCCCGAGGCGTGGGAATTGTGGGAAAAGCATGTTCCCGAGGCGTGGGAATTGTGGGAAAAGCATGTTCCCGAGGCAAGGGGATTGTGGGAAAAGCATGTCCCCGAGGCAAGGGCGTTAACTGACTATAACTGTCCAGTTCCACTCTGCTGAGCTAGGCTGGAATTATTGAGTTACAATCTGACTGGACTAACGAGTCTATGGATAGTCCAATCAAAATCGTGTAACAAACTACACATCTGGTTTGTAAACACATAGATTTCAACTTGTAGATTTCAGTCGACTGCAGGATCTACAAAGCATATTTACTGTCAACCAGGCTTTAATTGATATTTTCCAAATCTTTTCATGATTTTAATCAATGTGCTTAAATGACTTGATGCACTTTGCAAAGTAAGACTCGTTTAATTACAACATATATCTTAATTATTGATGAGATCATCTTGACTGGACGCCGCCATTTTGTTTGAAGCAAATGCAAGTGGTGTGAGCGGTGGAATCTGATTGGTCAGTAGGAGGGACATAGAAGGGACATAACTCCACTGGTGGGATTATGATCGAGCCCAGAAGTTCCACCCTAGTTCGGCAAGGGTGGAATCTGGACTTGTAGACAGTTAACTCTCTTGCTTCAGGAATATGTTGGAAGAGGGGAGATTTAGTTCATGTAATTTGTTAGCAATACATCTGATTGTATGATACTGAAACTAATGGATGACTATTATGGCAACAGAATTCATTCCCAACGTTTTTGTCTTGCACTCAGTTGTAAAGCAGCATTAGAAACATTATTTATTTCATGAATGTTATTATTAATAATCAAAACAAAATGTTGCAACCCAAAGTTTTGTAATTTAATGACAGTTCTCCTCAGTAACTCGCTACCGATCAACTTCGCCCCCCCCTGTACATATGGCAAGGAGTGTGGCGTTAAACAACAAACAAACAAACAAATCCAACCCTGTGTTTATTGTGAGGCCACTGTGCTGCAGAGTCGTCGGATGACGAGCGCCCCATGGAGGAGATTATCCGCAACGCCGCCACCCAGGAGTCCCATGTCATCAAGAAGTCGCCGGTCAAGTCCCACGCAGCCACCTATCCCTTCACCAAGACGGGGCGCCGGCGGAAAGTCCGCTGCCGCCAGTGTAAGGGCTGTATGGCGGAGGATTGTGGCAAGTGTATCTATTGCCTGTAAGTAGACCTGACTTAGGAATTCTGTATGGCGGAGGATTGTGGCAAGTGTATCTATTGCCTGTAAGTAGACCTGACTTAGGAATTCTGTATGGTGGAGGATTGTGCCGAATCTATCAGTCACATACTGAACTGGTGCCCTTTGATATTTTGGGATTTTTTGAATTTATATTTTTAAAACAAATTTCTGGAAAAAAGTTGGACATAGACTCCATTGGGTCAGAATTCGAAAACCATTCAGTGTATTTGATCGAAACTTGAAAGATGTATCAGTCACATGCTGAAGTGGTGCCTTTTGCTATTTTGTAATTTTAAAAATTTTATTTTTGCTATTTTGGAATGTTTCAAAATTTCATTTTTCCGTGTATCCATGGACACAAGTTAGACTTTGCTGAAATGGAGGTAGGTGTTGTTTCTGGAGCAGCACTAAAAAACTGTTCAACAGTGTTGAATCAAACTTGGAACATGTATTATTCAGGGGTTGAAGTGGTGCCTTTTGCAGATGACTGGGCCACCCGTGCCCCCAGCGTGAATTTGGACGGCTGTGTAAATGAGACCTTTTCTTTACTGAGTACAACTTGAGTTTCAGGGTCTTGATTTTATTAAGACGAGATTTTTGGTTCTTATGCCTCTTTTTTTTCTGACACTGACATCGCTGTGACATCATGACATGTACTATTCTGACATCCCTTTCAGAGACAAGCCAAAGTTTGGTGGGCGGTCAGTGATGAAACAGGCCTGTGTGTAAGTAGCCCTCCCTCATTTCCTTCACGGCACTGTGCTGGTCAACATTTTTTAATTGTCTTTCAGATATTCAAACGTCAAAGATTATCACCATGATTGACTATTTGTGTAATGTTGTTGCCTTTTCACTGCAAGTATTTAGGGTCTCATAGCTTCTGGGTTAGAATTGGTCTTCAGCAACCCATACTTGTAAAAAGTGACTTACGAGATCGAGTGGTCAGGCTTGCTGACTTGGTTGATGCATGTCATCGTATGCAAATTGCGTGGATCGATGCTTATTATGTCAATCACTGGATTGTCTGGTCCAGACTCGATTATTTACAGACCACCGTCATGTAGCTGGTATATTGCTGAGTGTGGCGTTAATAAATGTATAAATAAGTGTGTAAATTAGTGTGTAAATTAACCTGTTCTGCGGTCATGCGTTGGTATCACCTGATTGTTGCTCCCACGGACAGCCATGTTGGATTATTAATTTCAGCGAAAGGAAATGCTCAAACCCAAAGTACGCAAAAGTTGCAACGACATTTGTGTTAAAAAACATCAAGTCACGTGATCGCGAGCCTGACGACGACTCCCACACGGACGGTGACGGCCGACACTCCTACTCCTCAAAGTCTTCCCACAATTCAACAGGAGGAAACAACGGTGGGCGTCGCCTCCCAATGGTGCAGGATGGCGACGGCCGATCGTCCAATAACTCCAACACCCCCCCAATGTCAAACGCCGCTCTCCATGATGGAAAGAAAGCGTCATTGTTGTCACAAGCGAGACGAATCGCCAGGGCCAAAGAAAAGGTAAAGTACATTGTGTTAGAGTGATATATCTAAATGCCACTTGTTAGGTTAATGGACCCGTGGAGATTCGGGGTATAATATGTCTTCAGCAACCCACGCTTAATGTAAAAAGCGACTCTGCTTGTTGTAAGAGGCGACCAGGGATCGGGTGGTTTCAATTATTTACAGACCGTCGTCATATAGCTGGAATATTGCTGAGTGCGGCATTAAACAACAAACAAACAACAAAAACAACAAACAGTGTCTATATTCACAATATAATTGGATGGAAGCGTTTGACACGTGGCTGACTTAGTCTACATGGAGGTTGTGTTTATTGCCAGGCAGTGACATCCCTGCAGACACCTGGTGTTTCGCTCAAACCGATCTCAACTGGTTCCAGACCCTGGATGACCCCTTCAGCAGATGCGCATCTTCTCATGGCCGACTTCAGGGTAGGCAGGCTGGCACCGCATCCTACATGTAGCTCAGTAACATGTAATACTCTGGCAGTTGATCAATCTCATTAAAGTCAGAGCTCAGTTCGCGCTACAGCTAAACAAAGATCTGAAGACATCACATTAAGGGTCACGTCAGAACGATCTTTCATCCGACCAATCAGTGTGTCGCTTACCAGGTTATGAAAGTGACAGTCAGAATGTGATTTCTAATCATTCAATCTCGAAAACTTTAACATGGGGTATTCGGAACGATAGTTACGGGTTTAACGACTGAATCCTTACAATCTAGACCATCCATTAGCCATTCCAGGCTCTCTTTTTTTTGTTCAGCTTTCAAATTTGTAATCGAGAATTTGTCAAAATATGTTTCGAAGCGTAGTCGCCAATTTGAAATTTGTGCCGTAAAGCACGAGAAAGCTGCCTTCTGATTGGTCATTCAATTGGTCGGTCAAAGTTTGCGCAAGGTCGGTCTGACGTGACCTGTAATGGGATGTCCTCAGATCTTTGTTTAGCGGTAGCAAGAACTAAGACGTGATTTTAATGAGTTTGGCATTTGATGTTTTTGTTGGATTTCCATCTTTTGGATCTTTGTGATCTATCTCCCCATCAGGGCACCCTCCTTGATTGGTTGGGGTCTTCTGATCCCCCAAGCCCACACTGTCTCTTTATTCCAGCCACTAGGGATTTACCTGGGTAAGGTTATTATTTTGGGGGTCCAGGGGGCTCAAAGCCTTTGGACCCTTGAAGATCCGGGGTAGAATAGGTCTTCAGCATCCATGCTTGCCGTAAAAGGCGACTCTGCTTGTTGTAAGAGGCGACTGACGGGATCGGGTGGTCAGGCTCGCCGACTTGGTTGATTCATGTCATCGTATCCAATATCGGTGGATCGATGCTTATGATGTCAATCATTGGATTGTCTGGTCCAGACTCGATTATTTACAGACCACGGTCATAATAGCTGGAATAGTGCTGTGTGTGGCGTTAAACAAACAAACAAACACTGATGGTCATTCATGTCAATCATTGGATTGTCTGGTCCAGACTCGATTATTTACTGACCACAGTCATAATAGCTTGAATAGTTCTGAGTGTGGCGTTAAACGAACAAACAAACAAACAAACACTGATGGTCATTCATGTAAATCATTGGATTGCCGGTCCAGACTCGATTATTTACAGACCACGGTCATAATAGCTGGAATATTGCTGAGTGGAGCGTAAAACAACAAACAAACAAACCTAGACACCACCAGACCCTTTGTCCCAGACTAAGACAGACCTGCATCTCCGAGACTCCAGTCAAGATGGGAAATGGCTGATTGTTTGTCATCATGGCCAGATGGTGTTTATTGTTGCTCATGCTTCACTGGATTCTTGTTTATTGTTCACAGAATTGCCTCCGTGGTATAGTGTCAGCCCGGAGAGCGGAAAGTCCGGGTTTCGATCCCCGGCCGCGTCATACCAAAAGACGTTAAAAGATGGTACTTGTTGTTACCCTGTCCGGTGCTCGGCTCTAAGGGGCTAAAACAAGGACTGGTCGGCTCAGCGTCAGTATACTGTGTCTGAGTGGGGTATCCATGTTAAACTGCGGCATGGTATCTCAGTGAGCTAGCACTATAAATCGGCATCAGTCCGGACTAGTACCAGCAAGCAGACACACACACACGTGCATGCACGTCGCTATATAAGTGCAATAATCTTGGACGCGACGTTAAACCCAATTTCACCTTAAACCCCATTTCACCTCACCTATTGTTCACAGGCCAATGTGACATAGTTTACGTTTTGCTGACTGTGATATGACATCTGTATTTCTTGTTGGGTTGCAGGAGAGCTGTCAGGTGGAGTTGGCATGGCAACAGGGGATGGCGCTGACCATGTTGGCGCCGGCCTGTGTCAGGACTGTCTGCTACCTGTGTGGCAGTGCAGGGAAACACGAGGTGAGGACCAGCCCGCCCCAAACCCTGGCCCAGGGGTAGTACAGCAATGATAACATATAGCAGAACCCTTCAAAATGGCTAATTTCTTCTAGTCCTTGTGATACCTTAACTATTGGGTAGTTTGGCAAGAACTAGTGCCAATTTCTAACGTTTTATCGTCTGTGTAAAACAGAACCTGGGCCCTCATTTCGGTATACGGGGCGGTCGGGTAGCCTAGTGGTTAAAGCGTTCTCTCGTCACGATGAAGACCCGGGTTCGATTCCCGACATGGGTACAATGTGTGAAGCCCATTTCTGGTGTCCCCTGCCGTAATATTGCTAGAATATTGCTTAAAAGAGCGTAAAACCAAACTCACTCACTCACTCATTTTGGTAAACCTGCCCTAACCCTGGACCCATTCCCGCGGTTCTCACGATCTCAAATTACCTGCCCTTGATTTTCATTAGCCAATCTGATTGGCTACGGTACTCAGTATGACTGACCAATCAGAATGCGAGTTACAAACCAGTCTCATCATTGGGTTGGCAATATCAACAACATGGCGGCCAGTCCCATTGGTTACGATAGAGTTTGCGAGAATTTAAACATTGAAAAACTGACTGACTTGCAAATGAAAGCTCTCAAAAATCTTTTTGATCAAATGTCTTCATGTCCTTAAAACTAGCAGTGTCAAGTACTCTCTTGCTCATGTCCTTTTCTCAACGTTTGATTGGTCGGTAAATTTTTTATGATTTTTCAAATTAAGGGCGGCGGGTAATTTGAAGTCGTGAGTACCATGGGAATGGATCCTGTGGTTAGTGAAGGTTTACTGAAATGTAATTGAGTGAGTGAGTTTGGTTTAACGTCGCTTTTAACAGTATTCCAGTTATATCACGGAGTGTCAGCTTAATGTGGGAGGAAAGCCCGAAGTGATGCAGGTCTCAGACGTTTACCACTTCAGTGAAACCCACGACCACGGGTATGGTGCTGACAAACCTAGAAACATAATCGGGGCGAACCAGGATTCGAACCCACAATCAAAGGTTTCTGGCAAGCTCAAGGGACACAACTCTGCACAGAGTAATGTAAGCCCTGGAGATGTAGATATAGATATATTTACAGACCATTGTCATATAGCTTGAATCTTGCTCTGTGTGGGGTTAAACAAGAAAGAAAGGAACAAACAAAACACGAACCAAATAGATTTCGAATGTAGTTGCAAATTTTTGTGTCTCGGACCTGTTTGTGAGATTCACAAAACTGGCATGTAAAGATTTTGCTTCCTGCCCTGTTACAGCTGATCTACTGCACGGCGTGCTGCGAACCATTCCACCTGTTCTGTCTGGACTACGAGGAGCGCCCGGAGGAGGAGAACATGGAAAACTGGTGCTGTCGGCGCTGTCAGTTCTGTAATGTGTGCGGCCACCAGAACCATCTCCTGCGATGTGACCGATGTCAGGTCAGTAGAAAGCTGGATAGATATGTCCCCAGTAGGTGAAGAATGTTGTTAGAACTGAAAGGTGTAACAAAGGTGCTGTTGAATTTGCTTGATCATCAGGAATGTCTGGTCAGCTATAACCACTGCCACTTTTGGCTTTCCAGTCACATTAAACCGCTAAGAATGAACCGAGGTACTGGCATCTACATAAATTTCATTCTCCAGACTCGGTTAACTCACCTTTTTAATCACCTGTTTACTTGCTGTTCACACAGCTGTTTATTCTCCTGATTGCTTACCTGTATTCACCTGTTAATTAATCATCTGTTCGTTCAAGTGTTTATTCACCTGATTGCTTACTTGTCAATTACTCACCTGTTCATTCACCTGCTTATTCACCTGGTTGCTTACCTGTTAATCACTCACCTGTTCACATGCGTGTTAATTCACCTTATTGCTTACCTGTTAATTGATCATCTGTTCGTTCAAGTGTTTATTCACCTGATTGCTTATATGTTAATCACTCACCTGTACATTCACCTGATTGCTTACCTGTCAATCACTCACCTGTACATTCACCTGATTGTTTACCTGTAATCACTCACCTGTTTTTCACCATATTGTTTACCTGTAATGACTCACCTGTTTATTCACCTGATTGTTACCTGTAATCACTCACCTGATTGTTTACCTGTATCACTCACCTGTTTTTTCACCTGATTGTTTACCTGTAATCACTCACCAGTACATTCACCTGTTTATTCACCTGATTGCTTACCTGTTAATCACTCACCTGTTTATTCACCTGATTGTTTACCAGCTAATCACTCCCCTGTTTATTCACCTGTAATCACTCACCTGTACATTCACCTGTTTATTCACCTGAAGGTTACCTGTAATCACTCTCCTGCACATTCACCTGATTGTTTACCTGTAATCACTCACCTGTACATTCACCTGTTTTTTTCACCTGATTGTTTACCTGTCATCAGTCACCTGTACATTCACCTGCTTTTTCACCTGATTGTTTACCTGTAATCACTCACCTGTACATTCCCCTTTTTTTCACCTGATTGTTTACCTGTAGTCACTCACCTGTACATTCACTTGTTTTTTTACCTGATTGTTTACCTGTAATCACTCACCTGTACATTTACCTGTAATTACTCACCTTGTTGTTTACCTGTAGTCACTCACCTGTACATTCACTTGTTTTTTTACCTGATTGTATACCTGTAGTCACTCACCTGTACATTCACCTGTTTTTTCACCTGATTGTTTACCTGTAATCACTCACCTGTGCATTCACCTGTTTTTTCACCTGATTGTTTACCTGTAATCACTCACCTGTGCATTCACCTGTTTTTTCACCTGATTGTTTACCTGTAATCACTCACCTGTACATTCACCTGCTCACTCTTGCAGTCCACGTATCATCCCGAATGTCTTGGTCCGAGCTACCCAACGCGGCCGTCCAAGAAGAACATCTGGGTGTGTACAAAGTGCGTGCGGTGCAAGAGCTGTGGCGCCACCACCCCCGGCACCGGGACCAACGCCACCTGGACCTACGATTTCTCCCTCTGCTACGAGTGCGGCAAACTCATGGACAAGGGTAAGTCTCATGACACATTGTACCTATAGTCTGGAAGGTAATTTAAGGTACCGAGTTTACTACAATATCTAAAAAAACTATCGGACCTACTCCAGTCAAAGTTGGTATGAGATTATTAAACAGTCATACATAACTGGATATTACATTTAAAGACAATCGGTGCATGAATAAAAAATCTGTCTATTTAGCTATCACTATATTTCATCAACAACCAGACCTGTTCGTCACGGGTGGAACGAGCATTCATTGAAACAGCCATCTGCATAATGCTACCCCTGCGTCACAGGGCCATATGACACAGTTGAACCAATCAACTCAACTCAATAGGGTGCACAGGAGTCACGCACGTTGAGACGCCAAACGCTAACACCGTATTCATGAGTGCATGATTCCCGTGCACCCTTTTGAGTTGAGTTGATTTGTTCAACTGTGTCATATGGCAGTTAGGGGGCGGTCAGTTAGCCTAGTGGTTAAAGCGTTCGCTCGTCACGCCGAAGACCCAGGTTTGATTCCCGACATGGGTACAATGTGTGAAGCCCATTTCTGGTATCCCCCGCCGTGATATTGCTGGAATATTGCTAAAAGTGGCGTAAAACCAAACTCACTCACTTGTTCACTCACTCACTCACACACTTGTTCACTCACTCACTCACTTGTTCACTCACTCACTCACTCACTCACTCACTCACTCACTCACTCACTCACTCACTCACTCACATGGTGAGTTATAGAGTGTTTACTGCCTAGCACAAGATGGATCTCATTGTCACAAACATTCTTCACTGAAATTAAGTCGTTGTTCACTGTGCACGAGTAATGACAAATTTCAAAAGCTGGATGTTTGGTTCATGATTTTATGAAACACCAGAAACACACACCTCGGTTAAAGAAATTTATTTTCGTTTTAGTAAATTTTTGAATGTGTGACACTTCTTCAAATTATTATGTGTGGTTGACACGCCACTGATTACCATTATGTCCCCTGTTACCATGGTTACAGGGAACTTCTGCCCGATCTGTCACAAGTGCTACTCGGATGACGACTGGGAGTCGAAGATGATCCAGTGTGTCAAGTGTGAGAGCTGGGTGCATGCTCGGTGTGAGCAGTTGTCAGGTGAGTAGTACCTCAGCGAAATGACAGTCATTGAAGTCTTTTGAGCTCACGCAAGTCCTCTAGCCCCAAACTATTAACTTGTGCTGAGGACCAATAAAAATCCCAAGATGGTAGTTTTGAGCCAGTTCTCAATGCTTCAGTTTTTTCTGCAAATTGGAAGGGGGCACGGGTGTCCCAGTCGTCTAAGGCGCCGCGATTCGCTGTGCAGAGTTGCGTCCCTTGGGCAAGCCAGAAACCTATGATTGTGGGTTCGAATCCCGGTTTGCCCTGATTATGTTTCTAGGTTTGTCAGCACCATACCCGCGCTCGTGAGTTTCACCGAAGTGGTAAATGTCTGAAACCTGCATCACTTCGGGCTTTCCTCCCACATTAAGCTGACACGCCGCGATATAACTGGAATACTGTTAAAAGCGGCGTTAAACCCAACTCACTCACTACAAATTGGAACTGAATAAAACTAACAGAACATGTAAATGTAGTTAATATGTTCGTCCTGTTCAAGCAGGATTAGCTTCACACTCTGAGGACGAGTGAACTATGTCTACACTCGTCTTCTGTACTTGTCTTTAAATAAATGAATTTCTATGATGTCTTTGAAGGGTATTTAGAAGTGATACACATGAGGAGGAGAATTTGTGGATGTCAACTTCTTTATTATGAGGAAAACAATGTTTCAAAGTATATGCTTACTCCTTCATTCACCTGATGGGGCCCGTGAAGATCCGGGGTAGAATAGGTCTTCAGCAACCCATGCTTGCCGTAAAAGGCGACTATGCTTGTCGTAAAAGTCGCCTAACGGGACCGGGTGGTCAGGCTCGGTGACTTGGTTGATGCATGTCATCGATCCATATTGCATAGATCTTGTCAAGCACTGGATTGTCTGGTCCAGACTCGATTTCTAACAGACCGCCGTCATGTGGCTGGAATATTGCTGAGTGCGGCGTTAAACAACAAACAAACAAACAAACAAACAAACATTCACCTGATGAAGGAGTAAGTATTCTCTAAAACATTGTGTTCCTCATAATAAAGAAGTTGACATCCACAAATTCTCTTCCTTATGCCTGTATGATGTTGGCAGAATCATTTTGATATTTTGAACCAAATTCCCCAAATACAATAAAAGGGAAATATGTAGCTCTTAAATTATTATTGACATATTTTCCATGACTGCAGTGGTTAAAAGTGTTTGCTCGTCGTGCCAAAGGCCTGGGTTCGATTCCCCACATGGGTACAATGTGTGAAGCCCATTTCTGGTGTCCTGGCGTGATATTGCTGGAATATTGCTAAAAGCGGCGTAAAACCAAACTCCAGACACCAGAAATGGGCTTCACACATTGTACCCATGTCGGGAATCGAACCCAGGTCTTTGGTGTGACGAGCAAACGTTTTAACCACTAGGCTACCCGACCGCCCCAAAACCAAACTGACTCAATGTTTCCAGATGAGATGTACCAGCTGTTGTCGTGCCTGCCGGAGGATGTGCACTACACGTGCCGGATCTGTGAGAAGCAGCGCCCCGCCCCCTGGGAGCGGCTCCTGAGGGCGGAGTTCGTGGCCAGCCTCAAGACCGTCCTGTTGAACCTGCTCAGCATGAAGTGTGCCCAGCATTTGCTCAAGCGTGACGAGAAGGTGAGTCCCCCCTGCCGTGTATCGGCGGATCATACGTTTTCGGATGGCTATGGTTATCACGATTACTCGCGCTATAACAAGGGGTGTGGCGTCACACAGACATTGTAAATACTCAGATGATGACTGGGTGACTATGCTTGTCGTAAAAGGCGACTAACGGGATTGATGCTCATGATATTAATCACTGGATTGTCTGGTCCACACTCGATTATTTACAGACCGCCGTCATATAGCTGGATTATTGCTGAGTGTAGCATAAAACAACAAACAAAAAAACCAAAACATTGATGACAAGGTAATTGATATTGATGGGAATCGAACCGAGGTCAGATGCCTTATCCACACAGCTAGCTGACAAGGTAAGGATGTCATCTTTGGGATGACTCGGCCCTGCTACACTCACAAGGTAAGGATGTCATCTGTGGGATGACTCTACGCCCTGCTACACTGACAAGGTAAGGATGTCATCTGTGGGATGACTCTACGCCCTGCTACACTGACAAGGTAAGGATGTCATCTTTGGGATGACTCGGCCCTGCTACACTGACAAGGTAAGGATGTCATCTGTGGGATGACTCTACGCCCTGCTACACTGACAAGGTAAGGATGTCATCTGTGGGATGACTCTACGCCCTGCTACACTGACAAGGTAAGGATGTCATCTGTGGGATGACTCTACGCCCTGCTACACTGACAAGGTAAGGATGTCATCTGTGGGATGACTCTACGCCCTGCTACACTGACAAGGTAAGGATGTCATCTGTGGGATGACTCCACGCCCTGCTACACTGACAAGGTAAGGATGTCAGCTGTGGGATGACTCCACACCCTGCTACACTGACAAGGTAAGGATGTCATCTGTGGGATGACTCTATGCCCTGCTACACTGACAAGGTAAGGATGTCAGCTGTGGGATGACACCACGCCCTGTTACACTGACAAGCTAAGGATGTCATCTGTGGGATGACTCCACGCCCTGCTACACTGACAAGGTAAGGATGTCTTACAAGGGTAAAACATTAATCACCATCAAACATGATTTCCATCCATTCATTTCCTTCTTATTTTCCAGAAGGAGAGAAGGTCTGCTGAAAAAAGAAAGTCTAGTCCAAAGGGCAAGGGCTCTCCTGCAAAGTGTGTAACTCCTGTTGCCATGGTGACACAATCCTCCACATCCGAAGTGCTATCCTCCCCACAAAACTTACCCGTGGCATCCTCCCCCCAGTCAGACTCAGCGATACAGGCACCAGGCACAATTCCTGCTCAAACAGACTCTGTTGCCATGGGAACTGATATTAGCGCCGTGCCTGGGAGTGTGTCCGAAAACCCTGTGAACACAATCTGTGATAGTGCTGTGAATTGTGAAAAAGACACAGAAGAGAAAATCTCCATGGAAACGGAGAGGAATATTTTCAAAATAATTGACGAGTGTTTACTGAGTGACAAAGAGACTCCAGCGTTGTGTTGTGATGCCACAAAGATAGACAGCCAGGGAACAAGCGACTCCCTGAAACCTGTCGCCAGGGATACAGTTTCCATGGAGACGGATAGTTGTGAAAAGAGTGATTTAAGGAAGGAGGATGTTGTCGATGGAAAATTCGAAAAACTAAGTTCCGAATTGCCGGCAAGCGACATGATAGGCACGGAGGACGACCAGGAATTGTTGTCGTACTTGAAAAGTTACGGCGAAAGTCCCGAGAGAGACACGGGTTCAAAGAACGACCACAGTTCTCAGGATCAGCACCAATCATCCCTCATTCTTCCATCTGTCTCGGGTTCCGTGCTCGACAAGACGGACAGTGTCGCCGAAGCAGAAGGCAACATATCAGGGGAGACAACTCTCTCTGCCAGCACGCCCCCAATGTTCGTGGATACCTCCGACTCCAGCATGTCGATGGTGGTGCAGGTCGACTCGGTGGAGAAGCTTGCCGATCCGCTAAAGTCGTCTGACTTGGAGTCCCTTGCCAGCATGCAAACAGTGAACAATCAGACGCCCACTAAGTCTGGGTCCGGGAGTGTCACGGTGATGACGCCGGACTCGTCTGCGGGGAAAAAGAAATACTGTGACAGCAGAGATTTCCCGACGGACTTCGAAGCCGTGCGCGACAAGTTAGAGACCAATGTCTACGAGAGTGTGGTGGGTTGGCAGTAGGACATCTGAAAAAAATATTCTACGATGGGATAAATTCTTTTTTAATATAATCCCCCATTGTCTATTCTACTTACAATATTGGGAATCTCACCCTCGTGTCTTTTGATGTCAAATATATCAACACAAGTTGATAAAAGTGGAATAACTCTTAGGCTTGCCGAGGGTTTTTTCCAATTTTGTCAACGAGTGTTGATATATTTTATATGAAAAGACACGAGGGTGAGATTTTATTTATCATCCAACATCATTCTTCCAACTTTTTCAGTTTGTAGACAGTAATTAGCAGTGTCTTAAAGGGGAAGTGTACACGCAAAAATCACTTTCTTTCTTTTTCTAAACAAAACGCAATTTTAGAATTAATTAGTATCTGTGTTTGAAAATATACACTAATTTTTTTTCACAGTGAAAGTAGGAAGCTCACAATAGTGTTAAAATGATATGCCGTTATGAGGCCTTCGTTTGACGAGCGAAATAGGCCTGAGTTATCCCCCTTAGATTATGACGTAATTGGTGCCAATTCAACTGGGTCCCTGTCTATTCTCAACGCAAAAGATATCAAGGACCAGTTTGCGGTCAAACAACATGGTCTACGACACACTCTGGCGCAGTAGTGACTCAGCATAACACAATTCTGGCTGGCATCTGAGACGCTAGAATCACAAAACTGTACCTACACCACGTGAAGCGGCTCTAACAAAGCATGATGACGTCATAATGTTTATCAATTGGCACCAATGACGTCATATTGCAAGGGGCATAAGCCATGGTGTTTTTGTTATGGAAATAGAACACTTGGTAAATGTGAAAAATATAAATCGTTTTAATGCAAAAAATATGTTAATTAAATATGATGTTTTTATATTTTTGTCTATGACACTTCTATGTTAAAACTTTTAATGTGGAAAAAGTACAAGAAAAATTGGTTCATTTCCGTGTGAACTTGCCCTTTAAGTGTAAAAAGTACTGCTAACAGCTTCAGTAGCAGAGCCATTAGTGATGTCATTAGATTGTGACGTCATGGTAACCAATGACATCACAATGGTCTGGAAAGCATTGCGATGCAGTTTCATTGCAGCGATATCTACAATGTAGATATCGCTTGATCTCACCAAAGTGATATCTCCTGTGGGAGCCAGTTTTGGATGATTGTACATGTTGTATCCCATGTTGTATCATGATGTCATTCATTGGATTGTCGGTTCCAGACTCAATTATTTAAGAGACCCGTGAAGATCCGGGTTAGAGTAGGTCTTCAGCAACCCATGCTTGCCATAAAAGGCGACTATGCTTGTCGTAAAAGGCGACTAACGGGATCGGGTGGTCAGGCTTGCTGACTTGGTTGATGCATGTCATCGTATCCCACTTGCGTGGATCAATGCTCATGATGTTAATCACTGGATTGTCTGGTCCAGACTCGATTATTTAAGAACACTGTCATATAGCTGGAATATTGCTGAGTGCAGCGTAAATCATTTCAATGTTTTTGGTCATATTCTTAGCGCCTGCATGTGTTTAGGGTCAGTTACCATGGTAACCATATTGCAGGAGGAGTTCAGTGAGGACATGGTGCACATCATCCAGACGGCGCTCAGCAACCCCGAGGAGCAGACGCACACCCGCAGGAAGGTCAACAACTCGGTCAGATCCGTCTTTGTCAAGGTCAGTGGTAGCCTGTGTGCGACGTAAGTTTATCATGCCGTATTTTCTTGAGTATTGTGCTCACTTTTTAAAAAAAACAACACGGCTGTGTAGAAGGCTGAGCGCATTATACACACCATAATGAGTTTTGATGGTTTTTTTCCCCCAACACGAAGACATTACCGTGAGCATGTAACACCGGAAATACTATGTTGACAAATCCGTACTGAAGTATGCAAATTAATCATGTAATTACATTGTGTGGTTATAAAAAGTGTTCATTGTATTTCTGGACTAATGTTTGTAACTTCTTTCATTAATTTTATTCAAAAATCCTTTTAATCTTGTTTTTATTAATTTTGGCGAAATCATGTGTGAAGTGATTGGTAGATCGCACAACTCACCGTTATTAACAACAACCACGGTCAGATTACCATTATTGATGCCTTGAAACGAACTTTAGTTGACAGAGAATGGATACATATACCATAATTGCCATACTTTGACTCATTAAAAGTCATATTTGTTGTAGTTTGACGATTCTATGTCAACATGTAGTTCTCGCAATCACGTGCGCGGGAGCCTTGACTGCTCAAATTGTTCTATGTGAAAAACTGATAATCGACAATTGCGATCAGCTGCACCGAAGTGCTAGGCTTAGGGTTATTATTAATTTAAATACATTTAGTAAATGCTGCAACTAAAATAACATGATATTGGAATATATTATTCCTGATAAAAAAATTGTTTCAGATACCGTTTTTCCCGATCAAAAATCTTTAAAGTTATTTAAATATCATTGGGTAAGTTTTAACCGAATCACCGGTAGATTCCAAGAAAACGTGTTTACACCTGATTGCTGTTTCCGGCTTAGTTTATGAGAAAATACACAAGGTAATCTTAATCCCTGGATGTAAAACAATGCCTAGCAGAACAAAAAATACAATTTAGACGGTTACTCAACATGTCTGGTGATTTTTTATCTCAAATTTCAAATTTGTACTGTCCAAGTTTTTTATCACCCGTTCGTTAACCAGAATTCGCTGAAGGGGTACGGTGTAATTTTTTCCCTCGCATCCCTCATCAAGCCTCATCGTCTCATGTTTGTTACTTTCAGCAAATGGAGAAGTGCTTCCCCTGGTTCAACATCAACACTTGCAAGCTGTGGGAACACAACAAGAGTTTGCCAGAGTGAGTCGACTGGTGTAGGGCTGCTTCACCTCAACACCCGTGAAGATCCGGGGTAGTATAGGTCTTCAGCAACCCATGCTTGCTACAAAAGGCGACTACGCTTGTCTAAAGGAGCGACTGACGGGATCGGGTGGTCAGGCTCGCTGACTTGGTTGATGCAGGTCATCGTATCCCAATTGCTTGAATTGATGCTCATGCTATCAACCTCTGGATTGTCTGTTCCAGACTCAGTTATTTACAGACCGCCGTCATATAGGTCGAATATTGCTGTGTGCGGCGTTAAACAAACTGTAGTGGTCAAAATTTAACCTGTTTCATTTAATTATATTCATTTTTCGTTTCTTTTAATATGCAATTTGTAATATTCCCATTTCGTTTAAAGTCCTAAAATTTGTATCAACTGGTCTTATAAGCTACCCTTCCAAATATATAACAAGGGGAGTGAAATGCTCTGGAGTCAGGTTATCAAGCCATGTGGTCTGAGAAGGCACATGTCCAAATCAGCAGGTCAAAATTTATGGACTAAAACAATGGTAAGCCAGTTTCACAATTTCACACCAAGCCTAAAAAAATTACTGTAAATGCAATGTTACGTTACATATATAATACTAAACTTTAAGTAATTCTCTGGTGTGTAGAACTGATATCTGTTTCACCATGTGTGTGTTAGTTCATCTGAAGAAGCTCACCTTACCATACTTGCCGGTCATGTTCAAATGTGAGCCTAGTTCTCTTTTTGTTAATTATCGTTTAAAACGTATAGACATTTAATTGGTTGTTTTTGGTGAATGAGTGAGTATGGTTTTACGCCGCTTTTAGCAATATTCCAGCAATATCACGGCGGGCGACACCAGAAATGGGCTTCACACATTGTACCCTTGTCGGGAATCGAACCCGGGTGTTCGGCGTGACGAGCGAACGCTTTAACCACTAGGCTACCTGACCGCCCTGTTTTTGTTAAGCACTGAGACAGCTTCTCATCTGTTTCAGTCAATCTGTATTGTGCTAAAGAGCAAAAAGAAAATAGAAAAAACAAACAATTCATCTCAACATAGCCTGAACATTAGTGATATTTATGATAGCTTGAATTGGGAAATTTTTGCCGACATACATTGATTGCAGACATGGGGACAAGGAAAAAATCCAATCATGGAATTATGTGAAAACCTTTTCTCAATGCTTCAGTCTTGATACGAATTGGAAGTAAATAAAACTGATTGAAAATATAGACATCGTAACCATTATTGTTTCGTTGAAGCAGGACTAGCTTTCAGCTCAGAGGACTAATGAAACAAGGTTACCCCAGTTCTCTTAAAAACAACTTTTCAATTTCTACGGCTGCATGACCATATCTCATTTCTGTTTGACAGCGGGATGTTGCCGGATGCGGTGCTGCCACCTAGCGGTGATCACACGTACGCCCAGTGGCTGGAGAGGGAGGACCCGCCATTGTCACCCCAACCGTCGCCATTCAAACGAATACAGTGCAGTCCCATCAAGAAGATGGTGCCCATGTGTAAGTGTGCACGGCATCATTCTCGTACAGATAATAGACCCGTGAAGATCCGGGGTAGAATAGGTCTACAGCAACCCATGCTTGCTGTAAAAGGGGACTATGCTTGTCGTAAAAGGCGACTAACGGGATCGGGTGGTCAGGCTCGCTGACTTGGTTGATACATGTCATCGATCCCAATTGTGTGGATCGATGCCCATGATATCAATCACTGGATTGTCTGGTCCAGACTCGATTATTTACAGACCACCGTCATATATAGATGGAATATTGCTGAGTGCGGCGTTAAACAACAAACCAAGCAAGCAATGATAGCTGCAAGCCCGGCACTGATGTTGTTCTATTGATCTTCACTGATTTATGAACCTTTCAGCTGATCAATATGAACATATTATTCCACTTTCAAATGTAGAGGGATTATTTGTTATTACTGTGACCTCTGACAGGCCACTAAGCTAATACTGGAACTGTTCATTGAGGTCATGTAGAAAATATGCAAATGATACAGATTCGATTATTTACAGACAGCGTCATACAGCTGAAATTTTGCTGCGTGCGGCATTAAACAAACAAACAAACGAAACGTAGAAAATAAAAATTGGATTCGGTTGGGCAAAGTTTTGTGTTATGGACCTGTTTGTTAGGTTCGCTATATAAGTATGAAAGGACTTTAGAAATGACGTTGATCAGTGACGTAGCCCATCAGTCACCCGTTGACAAGACACAAAATAGCATACATTTATGCCAATAGGATTCGCCCTGGGGTCCAGCCTTGCCTCTGGAAACTTAGATCCTGGATCATAACATGGAAACGGTTCAGATCTTTATGCTACATTTGTATCAAGAGAAGTACATGTTCATGCTGTCAGATTTGCCAGCCACCCCTTTTAAATGATGACAGTCAAAATTACTAAAATATTTGCGATATTATAATATATATATTTTCAAAGCAAAGGTATATTTTGTCATGATTGCGTTAATATCCAGGTGAGCGATACAGGCCCTGTGGGCCTCTTGTTTACAGACCGCCATCATACAGCTGGAATTTTGCTGAGTGGCGTTAAACAAACGTTATTTCAACACGATGGCAAACGGGTGTGCGTTGGTGTGCTTGAATTAATTCATATATTTTGTAACTCTACGATGAATAAGCTTTTAGAAAATACTACATGTTAGTTTCTGAAAAATATGTACATAGGAGAAAATCGCTGTCAAAAACAGAAAATTTTGCTCAATTTTTGCACATTTTTCTCCCAATTTGATCGTTTATTATTTTTCTTATGACATTTTTTTCATGTCATACGATAACTAGTATGATGATCAATGAATGACTCTTCATAATTTTGTTTTATTATTTTCACATAAATGTAGAGACATTTTTGTGCAACACGCAGAAATCCACGGTCCACTGACAGACCGTCACGCTTACGAGTGACCTCCTCTCAGGTGGTCAACTTGTACGTTACGTCCTCTACTGTAAACAACAAACAAACAAAACAAGCCAGTGCTGCGCAGCTGCTGACACAAAACAATATGCACTTTCACAGCAGGAATGAATTGTGCATGTTTCAGCCTCCATTGATGGCGACAGTGAGACGAGTTCCGTCATGGCCATGTCCGACTACGGAGGGGATGATCTCAGACAGTGTCTGCTCTGTTCGTCTTTTGGAGACGATTTCCCAAATGTAAGTTGGCAGGGGTTCAGTCTCGGGAAATAACATGCTGTGATTGTCAGCGATACTTTAAGTTGTAGGGCATTGTTTGTTGTTTTTCACTGTAATACTAAATGTTGTCATTATGACTGTTACATGCGGTCCAGACTGGTCAATACGTTTGATAATCTTCATAGTTAAAGGGATGTATCTAGTGAGTGAGTGAGTATGGTTTTATGCCGCTTTTAGCAATATTCCAGCAATATCACGGCGGGGGACACCAGAAATGGGCTTCACACATTGTACCCATGTCGGGAATCAAACCCGGGTCTTCGGCGCAACGAGCAAACGCTTTAACCACTAGGCTACCCCACCGCCCTGGATGTATCTAGTAGGGCTGGGATGGGTAACTCGGGTACCCGGGTCGGGTGGGTCCCGAGTAGGACCCGGGTACCAACAGGACTACCTGGACCCGTGGTTAGTCATGTGATATTTTGTTTGATGACAAAAACTCACTATAGCTCAGTATTCCACAAGTCGCTAATGTTCGCATTTTGTTCTGATGATGCACACATTCCTTTTGACTTGTATATGTCTGAGTAAAGATAAAGCTTCAGTCAACTTCAGTGTACTGATCGTTTGATACACGTATCAAAATAGTTTTTGCCAGGGCTGCAATAAAACATTTCCCAATCAGACATTTTGTACCTATCTCTTGACACCAACAGCGGGTACCCAGGTAGGGCCGGGTCATAGGGGATCGGGTACCCGGGTAGGGCCGGGTCATAGGGGATCGGGTACCCGGGTAGGGCCGGGTCATAGGGGATCGGGTACCCGGGTAGGGCCGGGTCATAGGGGATCGGGTACCTGGGTAGGGCTGGGTCATAGGGGATCGGGTACCTGGGTAGGGCTGGGTCATAGGGGATCGGGTACCCGGGTAGGGCTGGGTCATAGGGGATCGGGTACCCGGGTAGGGCCGGATCATAGGGGATCGGGTACCTGGGTAGAGCCGGGTCATAGGGGATCGGGTACCCAGGTAGGGCCGGGTCATAGGGGATTGGGTACCCGGGTAGGGCCGGGTCATAGGGGGTAGGGCCGGGTCATAGGGGATCGGGTACCCGGTGGTAAACGTCTCAGACCTGCATCACTTAGGGCTTTCCTCCCACATTAAGCTGACACGCTGTGATATAACTGGAATACTGTTAAAAGCTGTGATAAAACCAATCACTTGATACTTAAGTAAATTGTCACAGCTATTAATAAAATATATGTAGTCTGCTCCACCTTGACCTTTGACCTATGACCTGCAGGATGCGGGCCGTCTGCTGTATGTTGGTCAAGACGACTGGGTGCATGTCAACTGTGCACTGTGGTCGGCGGAGGTGTTCGAGGAGGCAGACGGCATGCTGCAGAATGTCCACATCGCCGTCGGCCGGGGACGCCAGATGGTAGGTACACATGAACAATACCACTAGTCACGACTTCTCCACCATGACAGAGGCAAGAAGGGACCGCCTCCGTGGTCTAGTGGTAGAGTGTCCGCCCGGAGAGCGGAAGGTCCGGGGTTCGATCCCTGGCCGCGTCATACCAAAAGACGTTAAAAGATGGTACTTGTTGTTACCCTGTCTGGCGCTCGGCATTAAAGGGGTAAAACAAGAACTGGTCGGCTTGGAGTCAGTATACTGTGTCTGAGTGGGGTATTCATGTTAAACTGCGGCATGGTATCTCAGTGAGCTAGCACTATAAATCGGCATCAGTCCGGACTAGTACAAGCAGCCACACACACACACATACACGTACATGCACGACGCTATATAAGTGCAATAATCTTGGACGCGACGTTAAACCCAATTTCACCTCAAAGGCAAGAAACCATTGTCTGCAAGCCTGTAAGAAGGAAGTGAGTTTACATCACCTGGGAGACAGGGAGTTTCTTTTGGTCTAAAACTGGCCAAAACTCCTCAAAGCTATCATTGATTTTCAATATTTGTTTTCCTCAATGTGCATTTGTGGAAACATATATATATTTCTTATTGATAATGTTTAATTTTTTTTACAATAAACATGGCTAAAAATGTATTATCTAATGTTAACTTCCCAAGAGTTGCCTCCCTTAGGTGTGTCAGAATCCTATGATTGTGGATTTGAATTGTAGATTCACCTTTATTATGATCCTGGGTTTCGATGAAAATAATGAACATATCTGGGACATGAATCAAGGTAACCATGGTAACTGGTATCCCGTTTCTGTCGTCAGCGTTGCGACTACTGCAGCAGGTCAGGTGCCACGGTGGGGTGCTGTAACCGAGGCTGCTCCGCCAACTACCACTTCAAGTGCGCCAAGGCCGACCACTGTCTGTTCCAGGAGGACAAGAAGGTGTACTGCAAATACCACACCACGCAGGTCGACGGACAGGTGAGCTGGCTTATAGATTAACATGACATACTATCTGGAAGTACGCGGGAGGGAGGTCGTAATTAATATTACATTGAAAAATATTCAGTAATTTCCGATTTCTTTCAAATAACTATTGAGCATGTCATGCTGGACAATGGTATAAGGATCTATACTGAAACGTCCCTCTTTTTACAGTATTAAAGAAGTTGTTATCCATAAAATTGTGTCTACCTTGTCATCCGTCAACTTCTAAGTAATGCCTATCCAACAATTCATATCTATGTTCCCTGAACATTTTGTTTCAGCTGGTGGAGGAAGATGGGTTCCGGGTGTTGAGGCGGGTGTGTATCGAAACACAGGGTCGCTACCAGAAGAAGACCTGGAACAAAGGGGTGCACCCCTCCACTCTCAACATCCTCATCGGTAAGACAAACAGTTACCCACACAAAACCTTTGCCTGGACCAAGTTCAGTTATTATACAGTTATTATTTAGGTATATAGTTGTACCAAGGTTCTGTCCGTCCATCCATCTGTCTGTCCGAAAACTTTGTCCACGCGATTTCTCTGAAACTATTCAGTGGATTCATCTCAAACTTATTACATATAATCTGTGTCATATGGAGGGGTGCAGTCAAAAGAAACAAATTGTTTTTATTAATTTTCCATGTTTTTATTAACCCTATCCGTTATTTAATTTGACACTACTGACACACTAGTCGGTTTATTAACCCTATCCGTTATTTAATTTGACACTACTGACACACTAGTCGGGTCGGGGGTATTAGTGAGCCACACTCACTTTTGCCCTTGTTTACATTCTGTCATGATTCGGATATTGAAGACTGTCTTGAAGGAACAACCATCTGTACTTCTAGCCTATTAGTTTGACTGTTACGCTCAGCCTTAGAAATTCGATTTCATAACAACTAGTCCAGATACCTAGTGTAAACTTATTTTACTACTCCTCGTCCCTTGTAGCTCGTCCTGCTTGAATGAGACCTAAGTGTTTTCTATGTTTACATTTTATGTCAGTTTTATTCAGTTCCAATTTGTTCCAACTTAAGTGTTGAGAATTCTAGCTCTCGAATGCTACTATTCCATCTGGATCATTGGAATTTTACTTGTCCTCTGCACAATTTGGTTGTCTTGGTCTAGCGGTCTAGCATGAATTTTGAAGCCTGTAGACTGAGGGAAAATGAAGTAATGGCATCACTGGTGCTGCATGTTTCAGGTTCGTGTACCATCGAGAGCCTGGGCTACCTGGGGCCACTGTCGGACGTCAAGGGATGTCTCCTGCCCATAGACTTCATGTAAGTCTTGGATTTATCCGTTTGGCCTGTGGTAGTTGTGTTAGTTGTGTTTGTTTTGTTCAGGCTCGCTGACTTGGTTAATGCATGTCATTGTATCCCAATTGCGTTGATCGATGCGCATGATGTCAATCACTGGATTGTCTGGTCCATACTCCATTATTTACAGACTGCCCTTATATAGCTGGAATATTGCTGTGTGCGGCGTTAAACAACAAATAAACAAACAGTAAGCATAAGGTGTGATCGTTCTGTTCCAGATGTACGCGGGTGTATTGGAGTACCCAGGATGCACGGCGGCGGTGTGTGTACACGTGTCGGATCGTGGAGATGAGACCCAACCCGACCAGCCCGGAGGTGAAGATCAGTGACATGAGGATCGTCCATGATGAAACCCATCCCGATTTTGTGCCCTTGGATCGTCTGACTCCAGACGCCCTGGCTCTGCTCCACATGCTCAGTCCTACCTCCAACACCAACGTCACAATTATGGCTGAGACAGCCGTCGCCAAGGTAACGGCCAGGGACCCGAACTCTGTCGTACACCAGTCCAGTAGCTACAGGCCATCACAGGACAGGAGCACTTCCGTCTCCCTCAAAGAATCCCCTGCCTCTCACACCAGTCTTCAGAAAGAACAAGTGTCGGAACCACAGCCGAAGTTTGATCTCAACTTGCTCTCACCCAATACATTAAAATACCTCAGTAAAGCTGATGTGGACAGGTATATGGCGAGTCAGCCAAAACAGCCGGCACAGAAACCAGCCGATGATGAATTTGGAAACCTTTGTAAGATCGTTGACAGATTAAATGAGGCTGCTGGGAAGTCGGTGAAGAGGGCAGACAGTGCCGACCGGACATTTAGAGCTGCATCGCCTCCTACGATGGTCAGAACCAAGCGGTCATCATCTTGTGATATTCAGCCATACACACGAGATGGCCCCAAATCGTGTCAACCGTTCTCCTCGTCTCCTGCACCGAGGCCAGCTTCTGTAGCTTCCATGCCAATAAGGGTCAAGGTCAAATCCAGTTCTAGTTTAGGACCCAATGAGCCAATCAGAATATCTGTTGCTCCCCATAGGGCTCTGACTCCTCCGATAGTAGATCTCACTCAGGAGACATCGGATGTGATTGTCCTTGAGGATGATGAAAACAAAGTCGTGTCAGCTTCAGACGTTACTGATGGAGCTGCACCGAATGACCTTGAAACTGAACCGAATGACCTTGAAACTGAACCGAATGACCCCCTACTTCTGTCCCCAGAGCAAGAGATCGCACAGCAGGTTCTGGACAGCGTTCCGCCGGAGATTCTGGAGAGCAGTGATGGGCAGACGGTCGTCATCATGACGGACAACCCAGACATTTCTGAGGAGGAGGCACTGCTCTTGGCTCAGGCCGCACTCAGCGAGGAGGTGGGTGATGTCCAGGACGATGACATTCTTGGAGGAGAGGAACAGAAGGAGGGTCAGGATGAAGGAGAGATGGAAGTAGACGATCAGAGGGAGGAAGAACCAATCAGGAGGCAGGAGGATGCTGGTTGTGAACAGGTGAATGAGGCTGTAGCCACATCTCACAGTTGTGAGTCTGAAAGAGAAGAACCAGAAAGTAAATCCTCGGAGACTATGGACGTCTCAGAAGACAATACGAATGCAACGGTTGAGAAAGAAACGAAGGAGAGTGAAACTGAGGGGAGAGTGACAAAGCCCACATCTGATGTACTTCCTGAGACACCAGCCCAAGATGGGTTACCTTCTACAGGAGCTACTTCTAGTTCCGATACACCTGATGTGTCCCAAATTCCATCATTGGCAGATGTAGCCAGTCAAAATATTACCAAGAATCCAATGGAGAATCAGACGGAGATTCCTACACCAAATCCTACTGAAACTCCTCCCGCCAGCCCTGTCAAGGATCTTACTAAGAATGTAACTTCAAGTTCAGACAAGGAAGATCCTGATTGTTCCACCAGGAAACTGGAATCGAGTCCGGTTAAGTCTCCCATGAGTCCTTCTGATAATCTTGCCGAGAGTCCTGCAAAGATTTCTACCATGAGTTCTGAGAATCTTGAGCCAAATACTTCTGAGAATCTTGAGGTAAGACCTTCTGGGAACCTTGAGGCTAGTCCATCAAAGAATCTTGAGACAATTCCTTCAAAGAATCTTGAGGCAAGTCCTCCAAAGAAACTTGGGGAAAGTCCTGCAAAGAATCTTGAGGCAAGTCCTGCAAAGAATCTTGAGACAAGTCCTTCAAAGAATCTTGAGGCAAGTCCTTCAAAGAATCTTGGGGCAAGTCCTGCAAAGGTCCCTGCTGCGAGTCCTTCCAGAAAGCCTGCAGGGAGACCTGCAGTGAGTCCACCAACTCCAGGACACAAGAGGGAAGCAACAGGGGTCATAGATCGGAAGATAGTTGAGCACCACGAAGAACGTGTCCCCATCTACAAACAGGGAATGCTGATTGGCTGGAAAATCAACCTGGATGATGTGATGGAGGACAAGAAGGATGTGAAGGATGAAATCAAGGAGGAGATGGTTGACGTGGAGGATGTTCAGGAAGATCCTTATCCAAGGATGTCACTGCGTCCAGAACCAACGCATCTTGCCGACAGAGATGAAGAGACATCTTCGGGCATGAGGTTACCAGTGACGGTGACCCCACCCGAACATGTCAAACGCATTGCTGTGGACCATACTAGAGTTGCCAAACGTGTCGTTGCTCTTGGTGAAGATGACATAGGATCACAGCGACCAGGGACGAATGATGCGAGAGTTCAGGATTGTGTAGGCGAGCTGACAGAATCGCAGTTTCTGGCGTCAGAAGTGGGCATTGAGAAGATGGACATCAGTGTGGAGGATGTGAAGATAGAGCAGGATTGGGATGCCGTGTCTGAAGAGCAGAAGGATGAAGCGGAGGACAGTTCCGAGGAGCTTACTGTAAAGTTGGAGATGACTAAAATGACCCAAAATGAGTCTGAGATTCCAGATGATGCATATGAGGAGGAGAAGACCGATGTCCCCAATAGGACGTCCATGAAGAAGGGCTGTGCTCCCCTGAAGACCTACCCCTTGCGACGCACGAGTCAGAGACTTGGCGATGGTGGGGAGACGGGGAAACAAGCAGCGGATGCTGAAACTGTGTCGGAGGAACTGCCACTTCATGACAAGATTGCCCGCAAAATTAAAGCCGAGAGTCTGGCAAAGAGCAGTCCGGGTGTGAAAGGACCGTTCAAGTGTCTTACATGTAAGAGGCTGTACCGAACCAAGGAGAGCTTCAACACCCATGTCCAGAACTGTGACTTCGAGCTGAGCACGAGTGAAGACGAGGAGGATGAGAACCGTCTGCGAGAGGAAGAGGAACCAAAGACCAGGTATCCCGTTCGGTCCAGGTACAAGTCTGTAGATAGCCAGGACTGTATCGTCAAGCTGACCGACATCAGTAAAGCAACAGAATTCTCCAAGTACAACAAGACTGACAAAGACAGTGCACCTCCTGTGAAGAGAAAACCGGGAAGGCCACCCAAACATAAACCTGTTCCTGTAAAGGAGAAGTTACCCGCGGTTGTGGATTTGTGTGAAAGTGGAGAAGAATCTAAGCAGGATGAACCTGTCCGTCGTGGCAGATCATCCAAACGTCTGTTAAGTCCGCCCGATGTCTCCGAATCAAAGAAACCTGTCTCCCCGGAGAGTCAAGAACCACCACAGAAACGAGGTCGAGGACGGCGTTCCAGGCGAAGCGATCCAGTCTCGCCCAACAAGAAAGGTGAATCAGAGAACGAGATGGACACCCAATTATCCCCATCTGCATCTGAAACCAGAAAAGCAAACGCTGAACTTTCTCCAACTCACGTGACCCCGAAACGGGGCCGAGGCAGACCCAAGAAGCAAAGCACACCCTCGGAGAATACGGAGGAGGGTGGATTGAAGACTCCCCCTAAGATTGGACTGCAAAAGGACGAGAGTTTGAGTCCTGAGTTCCGATTGTGTGAGGTCACTGGTATGTTGAAGAACAGGAAGGGTGATCTCATGGAGATACCGATACCCTCGCCATGCAAAACAGATCAGTCGGTTACGCAAACGAATGTTGAAATTGGTAGTAAACCTTCTGATCAGAAGTTGATTGAATCTGTGAAATTGTCAGAATCTGACCCAAAATGTTCAGAAACAACTCAATCGGTCTCTTGTGATGAATTACCTCGGGTCCAGAAAACTGTATTTAACAATTTAAATGCTGATAAGCTGCTGAAAGTGTCACCACAGGATGTGATATCTGAACTTGACATTGAAGATCCTATGGACAGTGCCTGTGTTAGGGATGAGGAGCGGAACGTGTCTGCTGTGTGCCCTAAAGGAATGACGTCTGCCGTGTCCCCTAAGGGAATGACGTCTGCTGTGTCCCCTAAAGGAATGACGTCTGCTGTGTCTCCTAAGGGAATGACGTCTGCTGTGTCCCCTAAAGGAATGACGTCTGCTGTGTCTCCTAAGGGAATGACGTCTGCTGCGTGCCCTAAGGGAACGGCGTCTGCTGCAGCAGTGTCCACTGTGGTGAAGCGAGATGTGTCCAAGGTCATGGAGATCCTGGAGGGTAAAATTCAACCAAAACCAAAACCTGTAGAGAGTGCTGAGGACAGGGTTCACTCTCAGGTAGTAGAGCATGCATTGCACAAGCACAAGGTAGACGCTCAGCAGTGTGCGAAGAAAGCAGACGTCCAGAATGTAAGGAAAGCAGACATGCCGAATGCAAAGAGTCTAGAACAGGCGTCTCGAAGTATTCCCCACGAAGATTTCGAGGTTGACATAAGACGCAGGAGGAGCAGGGATGAAAATTCTTCAGAACAGTGTTCACACTTCATGGACAAGGAAAAGAGTACAAAGCAGGTTCAGTATTACATGGTGTATCCCCCAAAGGCTAAGAACATTCCTGAACTGGACAACATGTCGGGGCAAACTGACCCAGAGGCGAGATCCGACTCGGGGTCGCTCCCAGGAGACAAGAGATGCGAGACTCCCCAGGATACGGGGAAAACAAGAGCGCTGAGTACCAAGCCTAAGAATCATGTTAAACAAAGTAAGTCTATTGCCCCAGCAGTCCCACATGTCTCCAAGTGTATGCCTTCAACAATCACAAATCTTTTGAATGCAGTCGGAAAATCTGTGCCTCATCCAAATATCCCACAACCCCTCACCATTCCTTCGCCAGGGGGAGACAACTCTAGCATCATTGGACGCACGGCAGCTCAACAGAGGAATATTTTTGAAACGTTCCAGCCTCAGCCGAGTGTAAATATCCTTGGGAGTCCCCCTCTGGCTGGAGTCCACACGTCAAATGTGCTGGAGAATGCCGTGGCGCAGCTGAACCAGCCCCGAATGTTGTCGGCCACAATACAGACAACTTCGCAAGCCATCCATACTCATATGCCGCAGCCTCTCACCATCAACACCAGCCCCCAGCAGTCCATCACCACCTTCTCACTCGACCAGTGCCCCAACATCATGTCCAACATTCCAGGACTTCTCCACAGGCCGACACTACCAAGCATCCTCAGTCCCATAAACCAACCTCACTACCAGGCCAACCTCCTTGGAACCAGCCCCACGACACTGCTGCAGTCCAACCAAACCCTGGGTCTTCTCACCCAGCAGCAGAGTCCTTCGAGTGTTCTAGTTCCTCAGAGCCAGCAGGTCCTGCCTCCGAATCTTGTGTCGCAGCTGGGGAACCTCCTCCCGAGCCAGTTGACACCTCAGCAGGCCAGCGTGGTGTCCCGGCTCAACCTCCAGCAGCAGCAGCAGGGCGGGATGGAGTACATGGGCAGCTTCCTGCTGGACCCCAAGACTCCCCCGCAGCCGTACGTGTCTGTGTCTCAGGCGTCGCCGGTGCTGACCCCCTCCCTCACTCCACACCAGACACAGCAGATCATGAACCTGGTGTCGGGGTCTGTGTTGAACAAGGGGACCATTGTGAACCAAAGCGTGGTGCCATCTCCGGGGATGCTTCACCAGCCCTTCGCTGGCCCCTCCCACGTCTCGCCGCCACCCAACCCCGTCATCAGCGTGGTCCACTCCAGGGCCGACACCATCCTCCATAGCAACCTCATCAGACATCTGCCCGACGGATGCAAGACGGTTGTGTGTAGTCACTCGGAAGCTTTGTCCATGTTGAAAAAGATCCTTCCTTCAACCAAGCAGGCAGGCGACGTATCTGCCGCCACGACCCCATCGGGACCGACCAAGGTCACAGTGAGTTCACCGAACCTCAGGAACATCCTGAACGACAGTCCACTCAAAGGTGGCCCTGTCTGCTCAGCAACCCTCCAAGAATCCACTGTTCGACCGCATCACATCGTCCACAAGCCCGGCACGGGGATCCACAAGCCTGGCTCTGCTGTCAACAGCCGGCTGACGGTTCTCAAGAAAATCCTGAAACCAACTATCCTCCATAGAAAGAAGGCAGCGAGTAACATCACCCTGACCGCAGTCAAACATCACCTTGCGCTCAGTCCGGAGAAAAATGGTATCATTCAAGGGCAGATCTCAAAAAACATTTGCAACTCTCTCGAAGACCATATGCATAGGCAGCATGAGACGTCCCCCGTGAAGACCTCGACGCCTTCCTCCCACATAGACGCAGGGCACACCTACACGAAGGTTTCGACTCAAGTCAAACATTTGTCTAAGTCGGGATCTGAACTTGTCACAAACCTCTCATCCAAGATAACAAAGAACCGACTTGGGGCCAAGGTCAAGAAATCGGCCATCAAGGCCGGGAAGGTCACGAAGATCTACAAGAAGAACATGGCGGGAGTCCGAGGAGGGGTCAAGCCTGTTGGAGTCAGGCAGAGGAAGAGTCAGCATCGCCCCAGAAACATCCATGAAAAATACAAACGTAAGTGTTCAGACCTTTTTAGTTACTTTAGTGAAAAATACAAACGTAAGTGTTCAAACTTTTGTAGTTCATTCAGTGAAAAAAATAATTCAAATATAAATTGTAGTTCATTCATTTAAAAAAACAACAAAGAACTGATCTGTGCACAGATTTGTGAATGGTTGTATGAAAAATGGGGGCCATGGGTGGCCCAGTCGTCAAGGCGCCGTGATTTGCTGTGCAGAGTTGCGTCCCTTAGGCACACCAGAAACTTATGATTGTGGGTTCAAAACCTGGTTGGCCCCGATTATGTTTCTAGGTTTGTCAGCACCATACCCGTGCTCGTGGGTTTCACCGAAGTGGTAAACGTCTGAGACCTGCATCACTTCGGGCTTTCCTCCCACATTAAACTGACACACCGCGATATAACTGGAATACTGTTAAAAGCAGCGTTAAACCCAACTCACTCACTCAATCCACGAAAAATGTAAACATAAGTGTATACCCGTAACCTTTTGAGTTAATTATTTCAGAATATTTGTATATCCTACATAGTGTACCTGAAATAGTTCAAAATGTTGTTGAACCAAAATTACCATGTTCAGAAATGGTGAAAGAACTGAATGAGACTGTCATGTCAAATGTATGTAGAATCCTTATCCTCTCCATGCTGTGATGTTTTCAGCAGCGAGTGCCGTTAGCCATCCCATGATTCACCACCAGAAGGAAGTGATGTCACTACCGCAGCCCGAGATGGAGGAGGAAGTGCGTGAAACTCCCATGATGCCGTTCTTTGACATCACCAATCATCGGCGGAGATCGGAAGCCAAGCCCAAGGACGAGCCTCGACTGATGTTTGAGATCACGAGCGACGACGGCTTCCAGTGTTCCGGCGAAACGATGGACGGTGAGCATTAGGGTTTTTACATTGCCAAGCCAAAACAACATCCAGTTTATATAAATATGTGGAAAGTTCCCCTTGAAGACAAAACTGCCCTTGCAGTTTCGGAATGACTTTACGGCAGCCATTTTGGTTTGCTTCTGCCTTTCAATCAGTTTATTTGTTGTTTAACGCTGCACTCAGCAATATTCCAGCTACAATAAACATCACTGACATCATAAGCATAGATCCACGCAGTTTAGATACGATGACATGCATCAACCAGGTCAGCAACCTGACCATCCGATCCCGTTAGTCGCCTCTTACGACAAGCATAGTCGCGACATGTTGCTGGGATGACGTCACATGGCATTGTTTTGCCAGTGCGTCTTGCAACGAAATTTCACAAATTAGGTCATCGGGTATTGTGACGTGATTGTAAACTTTGTGGTGCGGGGCACAAGGCAATCGTAGCAACGACAGTCGTAAGTCTATATTAAAGTATGGGAATTACGATAAGTGAGTGAGTTAAAATTTAACGTCACATCGGCATTATTTCAGCCATATAGCGATGAGGAATTACAATAACGTTGGTGCTACTATAGCTTTGTGGAATTGACTCCTTAGTCCTAAAGGTTGGTTGGTTTGTTTGTTTGTTGTTTAACGCCGCACTCAGCAATATTCAAGCTACCGGTATATGATGGCAGTCTGTAAATAATCGAGTCTGGACCAGAAAATCCAATGATTAATATCATGAGTATCGATCCAAGCAATAGGGATCGATGACATGCATCAACCAAGTCAGCGAGCCTGACCACCCGATCCCGTTAGTCGCCTTTTACGACAAGCATAGTCGCCTTTTACGGCAAGCATGGGTTGCTGAAGACCTGTTCTACCCCGGATCTTCACGGGGGGAGACAAGCATCCCTAAAGGTGGGCCATTGTGTGGGGTTAAATTACTGTGTGTCAACTTTTGTGGTGTTTGAAGTATTTTTCTGTTTATTATATGTCACTCAATAAGGCTGTTAAAAAGAAAGAATTGGTTCTCAGGCAATGGCTTTTGAAAATATCATGCGGGCAGGCGGCTTTTTGGTTGTGTTAAAACTAGTAAGAATCCATGGCTGTGTATAAGGCAAGTTTTTCGTAACTAGTATTAGAGGGCTTACGTGGGGGTTGGGGGGTGAGGGGTCATCTAAAACACAGGGTTGAAGAGTTTTTTATGTTTTTTTCCCCCAACACAAAGACATAACCGTGAGCACGTCTCACCGGATATACCATGTCAACAAATCGGTGCTGAAGTACGCAAATTAATCATGAAATTACACTTTATTGGTTGTAAAAAGAGTTCATAATATATAAGTTTGTATTCTATTTTATTAATTTTATTCAAAATTTCATTTAATATTATTTCAATTCATTTCGGCAAAATCATGAGTGAATTGATTGGAAGATAACACAACTCACCGATATTTACAGCAACCACGGTCAGATTACCGTTATTGACGCCTTGAAACAAACTTTTGTGGATAGATAATGGATATATATATCATAAATGCCATACATTGTTGACTCGCTGAAAGTCATATTTGTTGTAGACTATTATATGTCAACAAAAGGTTTTTGCAATCACGGGCGCTGGAGCATCGACGGTGATTGGTCAAAGTGTTACATACAAACAAATATCCGGGAATAGCGATAAGCTGTACCAAAGTGCTACGCTTATGGTTATTAATTTATTTCACATATAGTAAAGCTGCAACTAAAATAACATGATATTGGAATAAATCATTCCTGATTGAATAATACTTTCAGATACAATTCTTTCGCTCATGTATAAAAGTTCACCGGTAGATTCCGAGAAACGTGTCTACAGCTGATTGCTACTTCCGGCTTTGTTTTCGAGAAAATACACGCGGTAATCTTAATCTATACATACATAACAGTGCCAATCAGAACAGGATGTACAATTTAATCGGCAAATCATCATGTCTTGTGATGTTTTATCTCAAAATTCAAATTTGTATTGACCAAGTTTATTATAATCTGTTCGTTTCCCTGAATTTGCTAAAGGGAAACGATGTAATTTTTTTCTGCGAAAGACAAACATGTTTTCTTTTGCAAATGTAGGGATTTTTTATGCGCTGATGATGTGCTTCATTCCGATTCACTTTAAAGACCGGGTATATAAATTAGCATCAATTTCCCGCTTATTTTACGAGACAAATACACAAGTAAATCTTATACTCTGCGTATGAAACATTGTCCCGCATACAGTACACAAATACCATTGAATTTGTAAATCATGTCTAGTGATGTTTTATTGCAAATTTCATGTTTTCATTGACCAAATTTGCAAACAGCTAAACAAGCACACAAACTCCTATTGCCGTGATGACAATAACGCATGAGATGCGCATGAAAAGGGAAGTAACTGCGCGCTATATTGGGTTGCGTTGTTTTTAAGTATTGTAGCATTTCACTGTTTTAGTCATGTGTTCAAGATGCGGAATATTTAAAGACTTTTTTTGTTTCAAAAATGGAAATGAGAACGAAATGTTCTGGGGACTTTGTGATGATGCGGCGGTACCTGAGAACCAAGATTTTTTTTTTTTCAGCCTAACTATGATTAATATTAATGTATCTGATAACCGTGAAGTAAAATAACAGATTGTACAGCGTAGCTTGTTTATTCCTCAGATGCGTGGCGGCAGGTGACGGAGCGAGTTCAGGATGCTCGGGCCGCTGCCAGGCTGAAGGCCTTGTCGTACGCCGGCATGAACAGCGCCAGCATGTTTGGCGTCAACAACAGCACCGTTGTGTACCTGGTGGAACAGCTGTTCGGGGCACAGCACTGCCACAAGTACAGCTTCCACTTCTTCCAGCACGAGGTCGAGCAGCAGGAGGAGGTGAGGCTAGGGCGGGGTGGAAACACGGGGGCGGGGCAGGGTAAGGAGACTTGGGCTGGGCAGGGTGGGGAAACCAGAGAGGGATGGGGAGACTAGGGCAGGGCGGGGTGGGGAAACCAAGGCGGGGCTGGGCAGGGTGGAGAGACCGGGGCGGGACGGGATGGGAAGAAAGGGCGAGGTGGGGTGACCAAGGCAGGGCAGGGTGGAGAGACTGGGGCTGGGCAGGTAGGGGAGACCAGGGTGGGACGACATGGGAAGACGAGGGTGATGGCAGGGTTAGTGTAGGGAGTCTTGGGTGGGGTGGGAGGACAGGGGCGGGATGGGGAGACAGAGGCAGGGGGACCAGGGTTCACATCACAGAGTTACGTTCCCAAGTTGTGGCAGCATCCACTGATCTAGAGTTTGAACATAGCCTTAATTCTATTAATTGACCCTAAAGAATTTTTTACCAATGAGTTCTTGATCTTGAAAGTTGATAAATTATGGCCATGTCCTGGGGCTGTCAGTAGTGATGGGATGAAGGGATCAGTAGGACAAACTGACGTCTTGTACAGTGACAGGATTGTTGCTGGTGGTGCTGTCAAACTAACCCATCACTGTTTCTCCCCAGGAACCTGCGGAGAACCCCAGTGGCTGTGTACGGGGCGAGCCGTTCATGTCCCGCAAGCCGTACGACATGTTCAGTTTCCTCATGTCCCGCTATCGCAGCAAGCCCATGTCGGACGCAGGGCAGCAGAACGTTGAGATGATCCACAAGTCGGCCAGGTAGGTGTTCACTACAACACAACAAGTATAACACTGTCTGCGAGTCATCGCTCACATGCTGTAAGGCAAGACCTGTTTACAGCGTTAGAAACTAACAGTTTTCGTCCACTAGTCCTTATAATGATAACATATAGCAAAACCCTTAAAATGGCAATTTTCTACTAGTCATTATGATACCTTTACCATTGGGCAGTTTGGCAAGGACTATCGGACTAGTGCCAATTTCTAACCCTGGTTTATAAATAATTTGTAACCACTAAAGTTACCATTATTCCTCAGTCACATGACTGTAATATTCCTTGCTATGGGACCCGTGAAGGTCTGGGTTAGAATAGGTCGTCAGCAATCCATGCTTGTCGTAAGAAGCGACTGATGAGATTGGGTGGTCAGGCTCGCTGTCTTGGTTGATGCATGTCATTGTATCCAAATTGCGTGGATCGATGCTCATGATGTCATTCACTGGATTATCTGGTCCAGGCTTGATTATTTACAGACCGCCATCATATAGCTGGAATATTGCTGAGTGCGGCGTTAAACAACAAACAAGGTCTATTGCCATGGGTGATAGTTTTTCTGACTTTGCTGATGAGGAAGTGACGGTATACCATGGTGTACACATTGTGACTCCAGTGGGGATTCCGGGTCAGAATAGGTCCCTGACAACTTAAGCTAGTCCTGATAAAGAAGCGATATTATGACTTCACCGATTCAGTGTTGTTTTGTGGCAGCAGACTGTTGTAAATTTGTTTGTAGTAATTTTCAGTGGCAGCCAATGATTGAAATGCTAGTAACTTGGTTTGGGTGGCCAGATTTTGTCAGGAAGTGATTGGAGTTACCTCCCTTGATTGTTTACAAACTTGACAGGCTTGATCATTTGAGAAGTTTGGGGATGGGACAGTTTCTAGGTTGAGTGACTTGGTTGATTGTGTGTCATCATGGTATCGTGAAGGCGTTTCACGTAACATCACTCACTGGTTTGTGTGGTCCAGAGTTAGTTACATACAGGCGACTTTCAGATAGTTGGAATATTGTAGAGGATGGCATTAAGGAACAAACATAGTGATCAATATTAACAGACCTGCATCCTAACCGCCATGTTGTTGTTTCCAGACGAGCCACCAGCATGGACCTGCCGATGGCGATGAGGTTCCGCAAGCTGCAGGAGCACGCCAAGGAGGCTGTGGGAGTCTACAGGTGAGATGGGCGATGTACACCTGTGGTTTGTGTGAGGTGATTTCATCAGAGAGGTGTGTCAGTGACGGTTTAGGAGGCCGTGGGGGTCTACAGGTGAGATGGGCCATGTACACCTGTGGTTTGTGTGAGGTGATTTCATCAGAGAGGTGTGTCAGTGACGGTTTAGGAGGCCGTGGGGGTCTACAGGTGAGATGGGCCATGTACACCTGTGGTTTGTGTCAGGTGATTTCATCAGAGAGGTGTGTCAGTGACGGTTTAGGAGGCCGTGGGGGTCTACAGGTGAGATGGGCCATGTACACCTGTGGTTTGTGTGAGGTGATTTCATCAGAGAGGTGTGTCAGTGACGGTTTAGGAGGCCGTGGGAGTCTACAGGTGAGATGGGCCATGTACACCTGTGGTTTGTGTCAGGTGATTTCATCAGAGAGGTGTGTCAGTGACGGTTTAGGAGGCCGTGGGAGTCTACAGGTGAGATGGGCCATGTACACCTGTGGTTTGTGTCAGGTGATTTCATCAGAGAGGTGTGTCAGTGACGGTTTAGGAGGCCGTGGGAGTCTACAGGTGAGATGGGCCATGTACACCTGTGGTTTGTGTCAGGTGATTTCATCAGAGAGGTGTGTCAGTGACGGTTTAGGAGGCCGTGGGAGTCTACAGGTGAGATGGGCCATGTACACCTGTGGTTTGTGTGAGGTGATTTCATCAGAGAGGTGTGTCAGTGACGGTTTAGGAGGCCGTGGGGGTCTACAGGTGAGATGGGCCATGTACACCTGTGGTTTGTGTCACGTGATTCATCAGAGAGGTGTGTCAGTGACGGTTTAGGAGGCCGTGGGAGTCTACAGGTGAGATGGGCCATGTACACCTGTGGTTTGTGTGAGGTGATTTCATCAGAGAGGTGTGTCAGTGACGGTTTAGGAGGCCGTGGGGGTCTACAGGTGAGATGGGCCATGTACACCTGTGGTTTGTGTGAGGTGATTTCATCAGAGAGGTGTGTCAGTATACTGTGTCTGAGTGGGGTATTCATGTTAAACTGCGGCATGGTATCTCAGTGGGCTAGCACTGTAAATCAGCATCAGTACGGACTAGAACAAGCAGCCACACAAACACACACACACACACACACACACACACACACACACACACACACACACACACACACACACACATGCACGTCGCTATATAAGTGCAATAATCTTGGACGCGACGTTAAACCCAATTTCACCTCACCTCACCTCACCTTTTATTTCTTTAAGCAATTGGGCGGGTCAGCTTCATGATCTGTTATGTATGCCCATACCAGTTGTTTTGTTGTCATGGTGATGACCTTATCATGTCTTATCTAGGTCTCACATTCATGGCCGAGGGCTGTTCTGCAAGCGCAACATTGACAGTGGGGAGATGGTGATCGAGTATGCAGGGGAGGTAATCCGTTCTTCCCTCACCGACAAGCGAGAGAAATACTACGAGAGCAAGGTGAGAGGACGCTGGAAAATGTTATCAACTCCATATATTATTTACATATTGACGATTGGCCATTAACATTGCTTTGAAGAGTGTTTTCAAGCCTGTCAAAGTTACAACATGAATATTTTTAGATCAGTAAGAGGACACAAATATTGAATAATTTCAAACTTGTAAATGTCCACCCAGAGGTTGATGGGGTGGATCTGGCCACATCATAAGAAAAGACGTTAAGTATGGTATGTGTTGGTATCCTGCTTGTTGCTCGGCAACAAGGGTATAAAACAAGGAGAAGGCACGGAATCAGTATTCTGTTAGAAGGTATTCATGTTAAAACTGCGACATTGTATCTCAGTGGGCTAGCACTATATGACGGGCATTAGTCCTGACTTGTACATGTGCGCATGCACTCGTACTCGACTGCTAGATATGTGCAGTAATCATTCACGCGATTTTAATCCCCAGTTTGAATAAAAACTTGTAAATAGTCAGTAAATCCTGAATGTAATGAGCAGATGACAGAAACAGAAAGCTCAAAGTGCGACGGATGCTGACCTTGACACTGACCTTGACCTTGACCCTTTGTTTCAGGGTATCGGGTGCTATATGTTCCGTATCGATGACTTCGAGGTGGTAGACGCCACCATGCATGGCAGTGCGGCCAGGTTTATCAACCATTCCTGCGAGGTGAGTAGACTGGTCTGGTTGTTTCCTAACAATCCTTGTTTCTGTGGGCAATGATTGGGCAGATTCGGCAGCTTGGTTCAATGGAATCCTCATACCCAGTGGCGCAAGACGCTGCTGGAATGCGAACCTCAGATTTGTCTCATCCTGACACGATTATTTAAAGGAAGCTTTCATTGTACTGGAATATTGCTGAATTTGGCGTTAAACGACTCAAGAACCGTGTCCAAAGTTGAGGTCAGGATCATCCTAATGTCATTTGTCTCGAGCAAACTCACTGGAATCTTCAACTTATATTTGTACGTTCTCGGCCTGTTTCAGCCCAACTGCTACTCCAGGGTCATCAACGTGGACGGCAAGAAGCATATTGTCATCTTTGCCATGAGGCCGTAAGTATCCTCCAAAATCAGATAATCGATGCTTTGACTGATACCGATCACTGGATTGTCTGGTCCAGACTCGATTATTTACAGACCGCCGTCATATAGCTGTAATATTGCTGAGTGCGGCATAAAACAACAAACCAACCAACCAGAAGTCAGTTGACAGCGCTGTGTATCTTGCATATTTGAGATGCCCAGATTCAGTATTGAGTGGCCACAAAGGCTGTCGAGTACCCATTTTTACCCCAGTAATGGGATTCCCCTCCTTAGCCGATTTTTTTCCTTTGAAAGGTTGTTTCGTCTGTCGTTTTTGGCGTCTGTTTTATGCTATTTCCCTTTTTCAAATTTAATTTTGGTCAAGTATGTTATTTGTATGCCCTAAAGTATTAAAATCTGCTTTGTTGACTTTACTTGCCCTTTAAACGTAAGCTGGTGTTTGCCCACAGAATCAGCAAGGGAGAGGAGCTGACGTATGACTACAAGTTCCCCATCGAGGAGGTGAAGATTCCGTGTTCTTGTGGCTCCAAGAAGTGTCGCAAGTATCTCAACTAACCACGGGCGTCACTGCAGCACCATTGGCCATTCTATCATGGAGAAGAAACACAATGTGGAATCCTACTAGTCAGCCTTGAAGCAAAACTGGTCTTGTGTGTTATTCGAGATTGCATTCTTGTATGAAAATGTTCCGTCAGAAATGAGGAGAAGCAAAAAAGAGGAGTCGTGTCTGCTACTGCAATGATGAAGTGAGATTGTGTATGTCATGAGTTGAAAGGGGCACAGTTTCAAGGAGAATTCGTTGGTCAAGGTCACACTGGAAGACTCTTTAAGATGTTTCCATGGGGATGGTTGCCATGGGGATGGTTTCTTGATTCCATAGCAATGGTGGAGTTGGTGGTGATGGTCCATGCTCAGACTGAAGTAACAGGTGTTTTTTGCATCGAGTATGAGACTGTTGAAAAGTTTGTGGTGTATAAAATATGCAAGTGTTGAATGTTGGACTCGTGTGTTGGCAGCTAGTGATTGTCAGGTCCACGTACCTCACAACCGGGACACAGGAGCAGGACTTACAGCTTGCCAATAACAGGTGCTTCCTGGTGGCCAAACACAAGGACGATGTTGGATTTACAGGGGGCACCTGTTTCACTATGGAGAGATTTGTGTCCAGCCTTGCTGCTTGACTCTGTGTCCCCAAGAAGTCTGTTCCAGGCTGGTGATAGATGTGGGGCACCTGTTTCACTGTGGAGAGATTTGTGTACAGCCTTGCTGCTTGACTCTGTGTCCTCCAGAAGTCTGTTCCAGGGTCAGGCTGGTGATAGATGTGGGGCACCTGTTTCACTGTGGAGAGATTTGTGTCCAGCCTTGCTGCTTGACTCTGTGTCCTCCAGAAGTCTGTTCCAGGGTCAGGCTGATGATAGATGAGGGGCACTTGTTTCACTGGGGAGAGATTTGTGTCCAGCCTGGCTGCTTGACTCTGTGTCCTCCAGAAGTCTGTTCCAGGGTCAGGCTGATGATAGATGTGGGGCAACTATTTCACTGTGGAGAGATTTGTGTACAGCCTGGCTGCTTGACTCTGTGTCCCCCAGAAAATTGTTCCATGGCCAGTCTGGTGTTAGAAATGGATCTTGTATTGTGTAGAAGAGGGAACAGTACCCAACAGATACGGGAACAAAAGGATTCAAAGTTCAACTGACAGGCACTTGTCCTGAAGTCTAAAACAGATTCACAGCATGACAATGGGTGTTTGTATTCCGAGTAAATATGTTTAAAGTTGTGACAAGCCAAGCCAAAGTTGAGACTGGATGCATGTTTCTGTCAGAACAAGCACCTGGTATGTGTGAAGGTCATGCATCCAGTACTTGTCAGCCAGGGCCCTGTTCCTCAAAACGATCTTAGCGCTAAGTTGATCGTAACTCCTATACTTTAACATAGACTTACGACTGTTATAGCGCTAAGATTGCTTTGTGGAACAGTGCCCAGGATTGTGTTGTAGAGACTGGCAGCCATGGCTACATTCACCAAGGCAGCTATTACCAATGGCGTCAGTATCTTATTCTCAAGCCAAGAGGGTGTCGCGGTGTACAGGTGGACACCACCAGGGTGCCGTTGTACAAAGCGATCTTAGTACTAAGGTGATCGTAACTCCCATACCTTAACATAGACTTACGACAGTCGTAGCGCTAAGGTTGATTCATACAACGGGACCGGGGTCCTTGTCAACTTAGTTTACGTTAGACCTGGCTCACATCGATGCCCAGTGATGTTTGGTAGTGTTTATGCTATTCACCTGTAATGGGAGAATTCATTAGCAGCTGCATACAGTCACTCTTGTACAGGGTGACGACCGGGATCAGGGTGTCGTTGTACAAAGCAATCTTATCGCTAAGGTCAGGCTTTTTATATTTTTAGGATTACAGATTTTTCAGCCTAAAGTCCAGGGTTGGAGGAGGGGGGAAAAAAAAGCCAGATAAAATCTTTTTTTAATGCAGAATGCCTCTGGGATACTTTATGAACATATTCTGTGCTCAAAAGACCGTCATTTGTGACGATAAAGCTCCTTGTATCAACAAAAATTCTACCACTCGCAACATGGACAATTGTCAAGGGAGGCTATTCATGTTCGGCTTCGAGATCAACAAAGATCAATTATGTATCTCTTTAAGGGTTTACAATGGTAAATTAATATGTTTTTTACTAAAAGGTGATGATAACTAATAAAATAACTGACTACGCGGCTATCGGCAGGGGAAAAAAATGGAAATCTGAGTACTTTATTTTTACATTTTCTCAAAAATTAGAGTCGGCGGGTCCATATCCGAAAAATATAAAACGTCTGGCCTAAGGTGATCATATCTCCCATACTGGTACCTTAACATAGAGTTACAACAGTGGTAGTGCTAAAGTTGTTTTGTACAACCGCACCCAGGTGGTCAGGCTCACTGACTTGGTCGATCATGTCATTGTATCCCACTTGCGTAGATCGATGCTCATGATGTCAATCACTGGATTGTCAGGTTTAGACTTGATAATATGCAGGCCACTGTCATATTGCTCGAATATTGCTGAGTGCGGCGTTAAACAACAACCAAACAAACAATCAAACAAAAACACAATGCTAAAGAAACATTAACTGTTTGGTCTTTATCTAACGCCCAGCTCTTACTATCAAATTTTGCTCATTATTCATGGAGGAATCGTGGTAATTATATACCATAATATCACCTTCAAGTCTGGAGCCCATAGTTTCATTTTTGATCTTCATATCTGTTAAATATGGAAATAGGCTTAAAATCGGATATTAATTTTGGAGTGTTCTTCATTCGATGAAGTTGCTTCCTGTTCAGATGTAAAATCCATGTATATTTTCTCATTTAAAACAACTTAACAGTTATTAAAAAATATTAAGTGAAGGGTGCCCTTTATTTTGCCCTGGACTTAATTTTGGATAAATATTTTAAATGAGAATGTGTTATGTTCCGTAATTAGGCCCAGGGCTTAAATGCAGGAAGCCTTGGTAATGTGTTTGCAAGTAGAACAACTGGTTCACATATGTGATGGCTAATGATACTCGTGGTTGTTTGGTTTCAGTTTAATAGGGGGGCACGGGTGGCCCAGTCATCTAAGGCGCCGCGATTCGCTGTGCAGAGTTGCGTCCCTTGGGCACGCCAGAAACCTATGATTGTGGGTTCGAATCCCGGTTCGCCCCGATAATGTTTCTAGGTTTGTCAGCTCGTGGGTTTCACCGAAGTGGTTAACGTCTGAGACCTGCATCACTTTGGGCTTTCCTCCCACATTAAGCTGACACACCGCAATATAACTGGAATACTGTTAAAAGCGGCGTTAAACCCAACTCACTCACTCAATTCAGTTTAATAGATTATTAAAAAAAAACTTATCATTGTCAAAGATTCATGTGACGAAGGTTTGGTTTTATTTGTTGTGCAGGGAGATTTGATCCTGAGGAACAGTTTTACTCTGTGCCATTGAAGTATTATGATATACAGCATAATGCCCAGTTGACAGTTGCTACACTGTATGAGATGAAATACAGTGTTGTATATAGCTGTGTATAGTGTTGATGTGCTATGACATTTATATACCACGGTTACAATATCGGATGTGTTCATATATGTGTGTTTATGACTGTAACTGTGTACGTGTTGTCAGAACTAGAAGCAGGCACACCTCTTTCCTGCAATAGTGCCCCCCCCCATTGTGTGCAGGAATTGTGTTGATTCATCGAGAAGAAATAATGCATATCAGTTTCCCAGAACTTGTGAGTATCAGTGCAGACAATCCAGTGATTGACATCATGAGCATCAATCCACTGGTTTGTCTGGTCCAGACTTGGTCCAGGGGTCGTAAATCGATGTATTGTATCCAGGGCCTCGTATCGCGATACAGGGGTCGTAAATTGATGTATTGTATCCAGGGCCTCGTGTCGCGATACAGGGGTTGTAAATCGATGTATTGTATCGTGGGCCTCGTATCGCGACACAATACTGTATCACCGTTTTGTTACAACAGTAAAAGCCTCACTAAGTGATTTGTTGTAAATAAATGGAAGTGAATCTCAGACTACCAGTAAGGTGAGCCTGTCGTGTGAGACTGGTGTCCTGTGATGTCCAGTGTACTGTAGCTCACCTACAGCTCTGTAGTTCATTGTTATAAGGAGAAGTGCCTTCACTGGTCCAGATGCTGGTTCGCTATAATGTAGCAAACAATATCAATTTTCAAAACACAAGTTGCTTGAATTGATTGTAACTGAATTAAGCTGTTTGTAAAATTTCTTACTATGCTTTGATAATATGAACTTTAACAAAACTAAAAATGATTTATTTTGGAAAGGTATGTGATCAAATATAGAGTGTGATCAACAGTGGTATTTGGGAATACCATATTCGAAATAATAAGCACCCAGGGCGCTCTCAAAATTAGAAATGGGGGTCTCTTTTTAGGATATTATTTTGGTGAAAAACAACAGAGTTCAAAGAGCGTAAATTTGGGGGTTTATGCTGAAATCTTTGTAAACGACAGATATATTTTTCCAGAATGTAATTGCCCATAATTAAGGTTGCATATAACAAACGTATTATGCACGAATAATAAGCCTTGTGTACTTTTATCAATCGGAAGGGGTGCCAATTAATATAGGATTGTTCACTAGCCAGTATATTAACATATATCGCCGTGGGCGCTTATTAGAGCGGGGCGCTTATTACGTCGAATACGGTAGGTGTTGAAAGTCCCGACAAGCCCTTTGATGTACAGGTCACATTAGACTAGAGTTTTCATATTTTTGTTATGACATCAACTTGGCACATATTCTGCTTGATACAACACAATCCCATTAATCATACTGTTGGTAAACGATCAAGTTCAATTAAAATGTTTTTTACTGTCTGTAGTAAGCGATGGATGATGAAGTTGTGCATACTCATTTCATTTTGTAAATCAGAATGAGGAGATTGCTGTGTGTGTTAATGAAATAAAGGAACCATTGTTTTATATTCTCAGTTTGTCCCCCAACTTTGCCTCCACATTTTATGCAGAAACGTGCCTTATACAGTTGTACTTTGAGTTTCTGGCCAGTGGGATTGACAGGGAATGTTATAACGTTGTTATAAGGTGGTGTGTAACCTAGTGATTACTGATATAGTGATACGTTGTTTTTCCCAGTATAACTGTGTTGTGTAACAATATGTATATCCCACAGTGGAATCTGTGGAGTGGTTCCTTCTGTCAACATTTGCTGATGGATTGCTTCAAATGTAGGACAAACTCCATTTTGAAAAACAGGAAGGGGAGACCACTCCGCCAAGCAATCTGTACTAAACTCCATTTTGAAAAATAGGAAGGGGAGACCACTCCGCCAAGCAATCTGTACTTGCCATGCAATAAGCCTATATTCCCTGCTTTGATATACACACGATGTATGACGTATTGTTCCACTTGATATATCGGATTATTCCTCACGGGAGCTGTTATTAGACCACGGAAGTCCATCACAGTCATTATTTATATCTTGTGCAAGTTGCATATTATTTTATGTCTATGGTTGTTGAGCGCGTGTATATATGTAAATATGAACAAGCACCGATCAGGGACGCCTCACCCAAGGAAGTCCGTGGCATTTGTTCATTAAAAGTGTAGATAGTACACATTGTTTTTCATGAATTATCCAAATGAATCCGTATATATTTTATTATGAATCTCATGACCATATGCACAAACTTACATCGTATCAAGTCTTAGAGATGCTCGTGTTGTCACTCATGTAGCCGAACAGTGGGAGTAACCATGGTTACAGGTTACAAAAATTAAAAGGGTAATTTTAAGAAACAGGATTTCGTTTAAATAGCGTTTATCATTGTACATTATCTGCCATGGAATCTATGAATTCTGGGTGACAAGAGGATCACAATAGAAAAACCTTGTTATTCCACACAGTTTGGCTTTTATAACTGTCCATACTGATGATGTTCCTGAGTAACAAAGTACAATTAAGGGTGAAACAATACATCAGATACATTGGTTTTTTTTGTATCGATACAGGATGATACACTTGCTGAAATAAATTACTTGCTCCTCGTTCAATGACCCCTGGCGTTTTTGTCAGTCAGATATCGCATTGTATTGTAATTAGCGTTTTAAGTTCACAACTAAAAATACCTGCTTCGAACATGTGTCTGCAGCTAGCTTTCCTTTTGAACCTCCTCTGAAATATATATTGTCAAGACGTTTCCATGCGATTTGTGCATCGCGATACGTAACGTATCGTTTCACCCCTAAATACAACATACCACCCTACAAAAACAAATGTATGCATTTTAGAACAAAGTATATTTGGCAGCATGATATTTAATTAACGATGAATTAAAATGTTCATATCCCAGTTAGATTTGCTCAAGCTTATTCTGTCTCAAAATATATCAATGCTCTTACGTTTCTGCAAGACTTGACACAAAATGCATCAATTTGCCTTTTTTTTCAGTATTATGTAGGTTGATAATTTTGTTTTAAGTCATAATCATGATCCTAGTTTTAGAGAAACCACAGTGGGATGGCATTTGTTCAAGCCCCTATATATACATGATTATATCCAGTGGTACATGTAAGGTTTCACCCTATGGTATAACTGTACGTATCACGCTGTATGCATACGATATCACACCATTATTTAACAGTTTTTCGTTGTGATTGTGCATTTATTTCATGTTTGCAACTTCCATGCTTTTTCATACATTTTTTACTTGTTTGAAAAACAATGTACAGACTAATTTATTGTAAATAGTTGGACTCAATTCGCTCGTTTTTATCTCAAGTTGATGTACATATGAATAAACCTATCTCAGACAACATTGTTTCATTGATTTGAAGTGAAGATCCGGGGTAGAACAGGTCTTCAGCAACCCATGCTTGCCGTAAAAGGTGGCTATGCTTGTCATAAGTGGCGACTAACAGGATCGTGTGGTCAGGCTCGCTGACTTGGTTAATGCATGTCATTGTATCCGAATTGCGTGGATCGATGCTCATGATGTCAATTACAGGATTGTCTTGTCCAGACTTCATTATTTACAGACCGCTGTCATATAGCTGGAATATTGCTGATTGCGGCATTGTACAACATACCAATAACTGAATTTGAAGCCTGCATCGATGAATCCGTGCTTGTGGGTTTCACCAGTGAATCGGTAGTGACGCTTGTGGGTTTCATCAGTGGTGAATTACTATTACCAGCATCACTCATTCCTCCAACATTACGTTGACAGCGACCCGTGAAGATTCCGGGGTAGAATAGGTCTTCAGCAACCCATGCTTGTTGTAAAAGGCAACTAACGAGATCTGGTGATCAGGCTCGCCGACTTGGTTGATGCATGTCATCGATCCCAATTGCGTGGATCGATGCTCATGATATTAATCACTGGATTCTCTGGTCCAGACTCAATTATTTACAGACCGCCGTCATATACCTGGAATATTGCTGAGTGCGGCGTTAAACAACAAACCAACAACGTTGACAGCAGTGCTAAAACTAACAATGTCAAGAATATTAGACCAAGCTCAGAGGACCAGAGGCTTTGTTTATGAACTGAGGAAGGGACTCTATTGAAAACTGGACACAAATTTTCTCAACCCTGGGTATGCACTTGTTGAGAAGGGTCCAGTTGTCTAATGCACCGAATTTTCAGCGCAGAGTTTGGTTCCTTTGGGCATGTCAGCAACCTAAGATCATGGGTTTGAATTGCGGTTTGCCCGGATTATGTTTTTAGGTTTATCAGCACATGACCGTGCTCATGGGTTTCAACAAAGTGGTAAACATCTGATGTCACTTGGGCTTTCCTCTTGCATTAAGCCGACATGACTTGATATAAGTGGTATTTGTTCAAAGCAGCGATTAAAATCCATCTGACTCGGATGAATTTGTTTGGTTTTTTGAGAGTTTGTTTTACGCTACAGTTTGTCATGTCGGCTGGGGGAGGTCGGGTTGCCTAGTGGTTAAAGCGTTCGTCCGTCACGCCAAAGACCAGGGTTCGATTCCCCCGACATGGGTACAATGTATGAAGCCCATTTCTGGTGTCTCACGCCGTGATATTGCTAAAACCGGCGTAAAACCATACTCACTCACACACTCATGTTGGTCAGTAAGTGTGAGTGAGTGAGTATGATTTTACGCCGCTTTTAGCAATATTCCAGCAATATCACGGCGTGAGACACCAGAAATGGGCTTCACACAGTGTTCCCATGTCGGGAATTGAACCAGGGTCTTCGGCAAGGGAGCGAAACACTTTAACAACGAGGCTACCCGACCGCGCCCAGTAAGTATGAGGTCTGGATTGAATGAGTGTACTTTTGCAAAGCTTTCAGCAATATTCCATCAATCTCAAAGCAGGGGACACCAGAAATGGGCGTAAAAGTTCCCATGTAGGCCTGGGTAGAACCACCAGGAGGATAGAGCATCAGCCCGGAGAGCAGAAGGTACAAAGGATGAAAGCTATATGACGGCAGTCTGTAAATAATCGAGTTTAGACCAGACAATCCAGTGACTGACATGAACATCGATCTACACATTTGGGAAACGTTGACATGCATCAACCAAGATCACAAGCCTGACCAACCAATCCTGCCAGTCTCCTCTTAGTCTCTGCTTCAGGAAACAGCAGATAAGAAATTCCCCATAAGGCTTAGAAAAGAAAAGAGTTGGTTCTCAGACAATTGCTTTTGAAAATATAGTGCGGGCAGGGTTGGTTTTTTTTATGGTTCAAGCTTGTATGTAATAAAAAAATGTTAAGTCCTTTTTTAAGAACTAATTTTTTAAAGCATTTCACTGCGAGGGTTGTGTGTTCGATATGCAGAATATTTGAAGATATTTAGTTTTTTGAAAATGAAACCGAAACCGTGCAGCGGACTATGATGTGGGCCGTGCCTGAGAACCAAGACTATTTTTTTTGTTTAGCCTAAAGTACAATTTCAAGACGTAAGGAACCGACCATTTCTTATTCGTGGGGGGACCTGGAATTTTATATCAAGATTAGATATTTTTTTCAGCTAAAGCTACAGCTTCAGAACCAGATATTTTTTTAACTATGAGCCTGAATTTATTTCAGAAAAACACCTTGCAATAATGTAACTTTTGTGGCAGGAATCTTTTAATTTCTTGTTATATTGAATTTCAAATGGTCGGTCCCTACCCTGTGATGAATTAGGCATGTTGGGTGGCTTGTCTGTGGCCAGTATATAGAAACAACAGCACTGGATGTGGATGTGTTTATTTCACATGACTGCAGTCAGTACAAGAACAACACAACCAGACCATGTGTCCTGACATGCTGCACACCAGAGTTGTCTCCCTGTCATACACTGCAGAGGGCACTGTATCTGTCTTACATCACATTAATAACCTGTTTATACATAAGGTGTAAAAATCTTCAAATAATCACGTACTGAATTCATTGGTCCTATTCCTAGTCCAAATGTACTTCTTCAGCTCATGGCTGGTAGACGATATTACAGTGAGATCGCAGTACTCCACCTAGGCAGTCTGGATGGAAGATACCGTATTCACCATATTAACCACCCTGCTCCAATAAGAGCACCCTGAGTAACTTCTAGACCAATATTTCAGTGACCTTAATAAACACTCCATAGAAGACCGAAAATTTACATTTACTTTTGTCTTTTACATAATTGTCCAGGAGTGAGTGAGTGAGTGTGGTTTTACGTCGCTTTTAGCAATATTCCAGCAATATCACAGCAGGGGACACCAGAAATGGGCTTCCCACATTGTACCCATGTCGGGAATCGAACCCGGGTCTTCGGCGTGACGAGCGAACGCTTTAACCACTAGGCTACCCGACCCCCCTAAATGTCCAGGAAATGGTAAAAAGGGTGTGTATAATTTCCTAGTAACTATTACCCAAAAGATTTTAGATCCATCAATGTTTGAACTAAGAATGTTGACTACCATTTCTGAAAACAAATTAAACCTAATGGTTTTAATAAGAGCCTCTTGGTGCCAAGGTGCTTATTAAGGTGAATACGGTATGTACCTTCAATGCCCATCAGACGCCCAGGAAACTAATCCAGAGGAAACTTCGCTACACTAAAGAACTATATTGATTATTTCCATAACAAATCCCTTGTTCTAAGATATGTCATTACAAAAATTATCCTATTCAGACTCGGTGTAAATCTGACTGAAACCACATAACAGTCTGACCAACATTAGCACAATATTCCTTGATCAACAACAGAATGTGCAGCAACATGAACAAAGGGCAGACAACTGGGGTCAAAACTGGGTCATGGGTGCCTGCAGATTATCCGAACACAGGCAACAGGCGTATGCTAACAAATGCACCAAATTTGCACAAAGAGTAGTGTCGTCCTCCTATACCACAATATGAAGCGATCGATCTGAAACATACACGAGCTTACCAATCCTAACCATGCTTACAGTATCTGTCACCATATTATTTCAATGTACTCCCTGTATCTTGAACAGATGCTAGCAACTGAGCCTCTCTGGGTATCATATTTCTACCTTGACAAGATTTTAATTTTGTTTCCAACCAGTTTGAAAAAGAATCTCTGGTCGAACATCCGGGCCAATCTGCATGGAAATCAATGAAGATTCAATATAATTTTCAATGAAGGAGATAAGAATTCTGGTCAGTTTGCTTTATAATTACTCAAAATTCGGTCGGTTGGCATTAGTCAACATTTTGGAGGGTGTGAAGGTTTTTCATCAGCAGGTGCTTGTTGTCTGTGTAGCAGACTAGGCGACTGTCTGTAGGGTGGTGAGTACCAGTCTGCAACAGACCCAGTCTTAGGGTGCACAATTTCACAAGTCCACATGCTTCAATATCAAGCTTTCTCTGTTCAATCCAGCCATAGTAACAGTAATGGCACAATCATCTCATCATTTACAAAAATAAACTCGAATTACAATCCTGATTTGAAACGCACGACAATGTCTCTTCCTCTAGACAAACCTAAACTGGTTTGGTTTGCGTGTTGAGCAAACGCGACATGGAGTGGATATTTTTTTATAGACTATACATACCAACATAACAAACAACTTGTACACAATGTACAATATGTACACGTATATATACAGGGCAGTTCTCTGCTCAGGAAACAAGATCCAGGGTCCAGGATCCAGGATCCATCTTCCGATCATGTACGAGAGTGAGGAAAACTGAAAGTGGCTCTTGACAAAATAAATAGCACATCCTTGTGGGTGTTATAAGGTGTTAAGCTCCTTGGTCTTAATAATAGTCCAACAATATCACAGGGGGCACCATGGATGGTTTCATACATTGTACTCCTGGGGGAATCAAACCCAGGACTTGCACAGGACACTGTTTCCACTAACGTACCCCACCTCCCCTGCTGGGCATACAATGAAAGGATATGATGATAATAATAATAATAATAATCTATTCATGTGGCACCTAGTTCGAGCTAGGCTCCTCACAGTGAGTGAGTGAGTTGGGTTTAACGCCGCTGTTAACAGTATTCCAGTTATATCACGGCGTGTCAGCTTAATGTGGTAGGAAAGCTCGAAGTGATGCAGGTCTCAGACGTTTACCACTTCGGTGAAACCCACGAGCACGGGTATGGTGCTGACAAACCTAGAAACATAATCGGGGCGAACCAGGATTCGACCCCTCAATCATAGGTTTCTGGCGTGTCCAAGGGACGCAACTCTGCATAGCGAATCGCGGCGCCTTAGATGACTGGGCCACCCGTGCCCCCCGCACTTACAGAAACATAAATGTGGTAGTGATGGTTCTACTGTGGCCCAGTACAGTGTCTCCATCTACGGATCTGCCTCAACCAATGTCTACCTGTTCTTGTAGTTGTCTGTTCACACGGGAATAGGTGTGTTTTCAGTTATCAGCGACATAAAGAGTAGGTGCTGACTTTAATGAGATGGGGGGAGTTCGTTCTAGAGTACACGGTCTGCACATTACATGGAAACAGAATTTGTGGGACTTTCGCCTCGGTTCCTGGTGTGAAAGGTGTTGCCATCAAGCCTAAAATAGTCCTTAAGACTCGGAGGATGAAATGGTACATGACATTCCTTTTACCTGAGAATATTGTTTTCGGTCCCATACTCAAATTTTCTTCACAGACTGAATAAATCCAAGAACAGTAATTATGTTTTAGCTGTAAGCTGTTTTACATGGGATACGTAAACATATGGAAAGATAGTGTCTGTATTTTAACCATTGTCAGTTGTCTGGCTGACACTAGGACATGCCTCATTTGTTGCTCTGCGATGTATCGGGTCCTGTGCATCAGTGACTGAGATTATGTCGTGTGTGTGTGTGCAATCTCATTAAAATCAGATCTTAGTTCTCGCTACCCAAAACAAAGATCTGAGGTCATCCCATTAGGGGTCACGTCAGAACGACCTTTCATCCGACCAATCAGAGCGTCGCTTACCAGATCATGAAAGTGAGAGTCAGAATGTGATTTCTAATCATGCAGCCTCGAAAACTTTAAAATGGGGTATTCCGAACGATAGTTACGGGTTTAACGACTGAATCTATACAATCTAGACCATATGTTAGCCATTCGAGAATGTTCTTTTGTCCAGGTTTCAAATTTTTACACGAGAATTTGTCAAAATATGTTTCGAAGCATAGTCGCCAATTTGAAATTAGCGCCATAAAGCACGAGAAAGCTGCCTTCTGATTGGCTAATGTCGACTTCTTGTCAGTAATTCCATTGGTCAGTTAGAGTTTGCGAAAGGTCGGTCTGACGTGACCCGTAATGGGATGTCCTCAGATCTTTGTTTAGCGGCAGCAAGAACTAAGATCTGATTTTAATGAGAGTGTGTGTGTGTGTGTGTGTGTGTGTGTGTGTGTGTTTCAAGGAGGTTGTGTGACGATAAGCATGACCTGTGACAGCAATTTGCTAGAAGCTACGGGGCCTGAGAGTGATAGATGGTGTGATTGGCTGAAGATGTGTGACAATGTGTGAGATGCTACCTGTTCCCAAACAACGTGATTGGCTACAGTTTGTGCGAGTGTGAGACGGTCAACTGATGAAGTGTTCTGCCCTACAGTCAACTGATGAAGTGTTCTGCTCTACTGAGACCTGATGTTACAGGTCGTGTGATGGCGTGATTCACTGTGAGTGTGAGACGGTCAACTGATGAAGTGTTCTGCTCTACTGAGACCTGATGTTACAGGTCGTGTGATGGCGTGATTCACTGTGAGTGTGGGACGGTCAACTGATGAAGTGTTCTGCTCTACTGAGACCTGATGTTACAGGTCGTGAGATGGCGTGATTCACTGTGAGTGTTAGACGGTCAACTGATGAAGTGTTCTGCTCTACTGAGACCTGATGTTACAGGTCGTGAGATGGCGTGATTCACTGTGAGTGTTAGACGGTCAACTGATGAAGTGTTCTGCTCTACTGAGACCTGATGTTACAGGTCGTGAGATGGCGTGATTCACTGTGAGTGTGAGATGGTCAACTGATGAAGTGTTCTGCCCTACTGAGACCTGATGTTACAGGTCGTGTGATGGTGTGATTCACTGTGAGTGTGTGTGATGATGTGCGATGTGTGAAGTGTTCTGCTCTACTGAGACCTGATGTTACAGGTCGTGTGATGGTGTGATTCACTGTGAGTGTGTGTGATGATGTGCGATGTGTGAAGTGTTCTGCTCTACTGAGACCTGATGTTACAGGTCGTGTGATGGTGTGATTCAGTGAGGGTGTGTGATGATGTGCGATGTGTGAAGTGTTCTGCTCTACTGAGACCTGATGTTACAGGTCGTGTGATGGTGTGATTCACTGTGAGTGTGTGTGATGATGTGCGATGTGTGAAGTGTTCTGCTCTACTGAGACCTGATGTTACAGGTCGTGTGATGGTGTGATTCAGTGAGGGTGTGTGATGATGATGTGAGAGATGGCAGACAGATTCAAGTGTAGTGATGTATCCAGCCCTATTTAGTCATGTTGCCATGTCCTGAGAGATGGCAGACGGATTCAAATACAGTGATGTATCCAGCCCTATTTAGTCATGTTGCCATGAGATCCTGAGGTCTAAGTTATAGTTATTACAATGAAACCACAATCTGTGTCTTACTCACCAAAGCCACCTACCTACTGGACATCTCTTAAGAGCCTGTGATTGCTAGAGAATGTTTTAGAATCATCCAAGTCACAAGAAAGAATAAAACTATGACAAAAGTGTCTCAAAACACAATGATAAACATAATGATCATAATTAGAATAAAATTGATCATGAAAGATTGTTGACTGATTCATTAAGCACATTTATATCAATATATCTAAAGAGACGGAGATGCTGTGCTACAAGATGTCTTGTCCTACATACCAGACCCTCCTGATTGTAGGAGGGCTCTCAAAATGAATACCCAGGGATTTATCTAGAATTGCTCAGAGCCCGATATTCGGCCCCAAGTCGGCAGCAAATTATAGTAAAAATTCTAAATTTGAATTAATATATTTCCCAATTGGTCAGATTTCACGAAAATATGAACAATCAAATTTTGAACAATATCACAGTTTTGTTGCAATTTGCTTGCCAGGGCACTTCGTTTGGAATCCCGGATAAACCCCTGCTACAGTATCTCATCTGGAGGAGTCTTTACACAAGTGTAAGTCCAAGACAGTTTCAAAGGATGTACAGTAACATGATGGCGCCCAATGGCTGGCTCACTGCCAAGGGAGGTATCGGGACATCGAGTTCTTCACATGTAATGAACAAAAAACCACCACATAATTTTTCTGGCATCATCAATAAACACAAACAATAAGGGACTGGTGACTTTAAATTCAAGGGTGGGGTTCCGTGGATTCTAAAAAACAAAAAAAGTCTCCCAACAAAACTCTGTCCTCAGGTTTAATAACAAAGAATATTGTTTACCGCACTTAACTGTCATACTCCTTTGTAAGTCATTAAGCTCAAGCTGAAATATTTTCCATCTCAAACAGAAATGTTTGGCACCTCCCCTCCCCTTCCCAGGATATTTAATGGCTGGACCCTTAATTTGGTCAATCATTGATCAATGAGACATATAATGTAGGGAAGGACTTGTTTCACATCACACAGTCTTTTATCACTAGACAACTGTACTAGGGCTCAATCTCATTAAAACCAGATCTCAGTTCTCACTACCACTTAACAAAGATCTGAGGACATCCCATTAGTTTGTAGTCTGGGGCTAGTGGACCAGAGTGAATTTCAAAGGCTGCACGAGAACAGTCGTTGGCATTGAAGAGAGTCCTACTCAGCTACTATGACAAACTGTGACATAACTTAGCACAATATCCTGTACATACAATGGTAACTAAGAAACAAAGAGCACCGTATTCGACGTAATAAGCGCCCCGCTCTAATAAGTGCCCACGGCGATATTTGCTATTATTTTGGCTAGTGAACAATCCAATTTGGCACCCCCTCCGATTGATCAATGTACACAAGACTTATTTATTCGCATATAATACGCACTTGTGTTATAAGCACCTTTAATCATGGGCAATTAAAATCAGGAAAAATATATCTGTCTTTTCAGGCAGCATAAACCATGAAATTTATCTTTCAACTCTGTTTTTGTTCACCAATTTTGAGAGCACCCTGGGCGCTTATTACGTCAAATACGGTATATTCAAATGTACAACCCAGTGAGTGCTGTCTAACATTCAGAAGTCACTTCTAAAACGATACCAACTAAGAGAAGAAGCACTCTCTCAGCTCTAGCTCTACATAAATACAACGCTCCTTCTGTCACAGCCATGTTGTTATATAATATACACAAACCCCTCTATCGACAACAGCTAGACACTCACACCACAAGAACAGCATCGTCAGTACTTCACAGGTGTGTGTGCCTCATCTTTCTCTTTTACTTGTGAAGATACAGCTGCAATGCTATTTCTAACCAGCTAATGAGTCCACATCCTTGTTCCAATGAGAGAGAAACATGTGAGTTGTTTGTTTGTTGTGCAACGCCACACTAAGCAATATTCCAGCAATATGACGGCGGTCTGTCAATAATCGAGTCTGCACGAGACAATCCAGTGATTGACATCATGAGCATTGATCATCATGAGATACGATGACAAGCATCAACCAAGTCAGAATAAAACTGGAAAGACAGTAAAAATGGGCTTCACATATTGTACCCATATTTTGAGGTCACAATTGCAAATCTGTAATGTATCTGCTGTAAGACCTCGGCCCCCACAAGGTGATACACCTGCTTCTGACAGAGTGAGTGAGTGTGTAGGATTCTACACTGCTGGGGACACCAGAAATGTACCCATGTGGCAAATTGAACCCCAATCTCATTTAAATCAGACCTAGTTCTCGCTACTGCTGAACAAAGATCTGAGGACATCCCATTACAGGTCACGTCAGACCGACCTTGCGTGAAGTTTGACCGACCAATGGAATGACCAATCAGAAGGCAGCTTTCTCGTGCTTTACGGCACTAATTTCAAATTGGCGACTTCGCTTCGAAACATTTTTTGACAAATTCTGATTAAAAATTTGAAACCTAAACAAAAGACATTCTGGAATGGCTAATAGATGGTCTAGATTGTAAGGAATCAGTCGTTAAACCCGTAACTATCGTTCTGTATACCCCATGTCAAAGTTTTCGAGGTTGTATGATTAGAAATCACATTCTGGCTGTCACTTTCATAATCTGGTAAGCAACGCACTGATTGGTCGGATGAAAGGTCGGTCTGATGTGACCCCTAATGGGATGTCCTCAGATCTTTGTTTTGTGGTAGCGAGAACTAAGGTCTGATTTTAATGAGATTGATTGAACCAAGACCCTTGGCATGACAGCAAACACTTTCACCAATAGACTGTGTGAACAGAACATTTTATGTAGTCCTTACTTGTTCATACATTCCACCATAAAAAAAACCCATTGCGTCATAGTATTCACCTGAAGACATATTTGAAATAAATACTCAGAATCGAATCGAAATCACATACTGGTAATTATTGTCATAATCAACCATTTGTGTTCCATCACAAACAGTTGAAGCAATTTGAAGAGCAAGCATTAAATCTGTACCACTCCCACTTCGAGGTCTGTTCCAGGTGTGTGGAATGTTGGTGTGGACTCTCCAGGGAAAGAAATACTGAGTACATGGCGCCAAGGTGGGGGATCCCTTCCTTACACATGCTTCACCTTGGCTCAGTGCTGTAAGAAACATTCAAGTGGCAATGTGTTTAAAACACCCAAAGCTCCTCCCCCAACTCAAAGCTAGCCCCCCAACTCAAAGCTCCTCTAGTCAAAGCTCCTCCCCCCACTCAAACCTACACCCCAAATTCAAAGCACAGACACACAACCCTGCCCCCAAACTCAAGCTTGGCCCCTACTCAAAGCTACACCTACCCCCAACCACAAAGCTCATCCCCCTACTCAAAGCTACACCCACCCATTCCCCTACTCAAAGCTCTGCCCCCTACTCAAAGCTACACTCCCAACTCAAAGCTACACTCCCAACTCAAAGCTACACCCACCCCAACCTAAAGCTCCTCCCCCTACTCAAAGCTACACCCTCCTACTCAAAGCTACACACACCCCTACTCAAAGCTACACACACCCCTCAAAGCTACACCCGACCCAACCTAAAGCTCCTCCCCCTCTTCAAAGCTACACCCACCCAACTCAAAGCTACACCCACCCAACCCAAACTCAAAGCTACACCCACCCCCAACCTAAAGCTCCTCCCCCTCCTCAAAGCTACACCCACCCCGACTCACACACTTGCTTCTGCCCCACTGCTGCACATGCATGTCCACCTTGTGCCATATGCACCCTTGCTACATGTTACACTCTGTTTATTTCCGATCAAAACAGAGGTGAATACTCACAATCTTCACGATCAAATAGTGCCAAGAAAATGTAACAGTCCTCATAATGGTACAACTATTGTAACAAAACCCTGGTCCATCAAGTACATGGTGTCTGTGTCTGTTCATGTCATGAGTTCACAAGGGCTCCTGCTCATTGTGTCTGCTGGAAGGACTCTTCTGACAGAGTGAGTGAGTGAGTGAGTTGGGTTTAACGCCGCTTTTAACAGTATTCCAGTTATATTGCGGCGTGTCAGCTTAATGTGGGAGGAAGGTCCGAAGTGATGCAGGTCTCAGATGTTTACCACTTCGGTGAAACCCACGAGCACAGGTATGGTGCTGACAAACCTAGAAACATAATTGGGGTGAACCGGGATTCCAACCCACAATCATAGGTTTCTGCTGTGCCCAAGCGACGCAACTCTGCACAGCGAATCGCGGTGCCTTAGACGACTGGGCCACCCGTGCCCCCTTCTGACAGAGTGAGAGAGTATGGCTTTATGCCGCTTTTAGCAATATTCCAGCAATACCACTGCTGGGGACACCAGAAATGGGCTTCTCACATTGTACCCATGTGGGGAATCAAACCCAGGTCTTCGGCGTGACGAGCTAACGCTGTAACCACAAGACTACCCCCAACTCCCTGCAGGTCCAGATAAACCTCTGCTTGGTAAAACCATCTGGAAGCAACAGCACTACTGGAGACAGAAACTTGGAGGCTGAAGAACAATCCCAAGAGGAACCGATGATAGACCTACCATACAGAATAGTTACACTCTTGCTAAAATTAGATCTCTTACTCCGACATGATACCTTTCTGTGCGAAGATCACGCCTTCTAAGTTCCTAGAGCCAATCATTTGGGTGTAGATGCCATGGAGCTCAGAAACAACAGGATCCTGAATGTATAAATATCCCCAACATTAATAGTGCGGTTCTATTTATTTGCATTAGGAACTCCCTGATCATATTTTTTTTCAAGACAGACCTCATGTGATATGATCAGGGAGTTCCTAATGCAAATAAATAGAACCACACTATTTATGATCCTCATATGTCTGTCTTGAAAACAAATATGATCAGGGAGTTCCTAATGCAAATAAATAGATAAATAAATGTTTGTCTGAATAAGAAATTGACTTCGAAACCTTTATACTGATGACTTCAGCCAACTCGTCCTGTGAGGGTGTCCGCAGAGAGTTATCAAATCGGAGTAAAAGATCAGATTGAACAGTTTCACATCGAATGTGAGCACTCTAGGGGCCAAGGTGACAAGGTCATCTACTCAAGACGGCACATACACAGTATTTCATCACCTGTCTGTCTCTAGCTTCAGGAAAACCGTAATTGAACACATTTCAAATTATGTTTTCTTCACTGTCAAGTTAGGAAATTCAAAAAATAAACATATCATCATCATGATAATCATGTACAAATTAATGTCCTCATCCCCCACGTAAAACAAGAAGGTGTAACCATGGTAACAGTGCTGCACTAAGGCTGAGGATTTTTCTCAACAAATCCCCAGATTCATCTAGGCAACCTAGATGGCCAGTGTAAAACAGTAAGGGCTGCCGGAGGGTCCTTCAACTTGAACAGCTATAGTGTTAAATCATGGAATCCCCCAAATCATTCAATTTTAAATACAAGGTGATGACAAAGACATGTTGAAATCCATACTTAATTTCAAACACAAATAAGGAATAAATGTTGTGATAAACATGGAGAAACTACTGACTACAACTTCAGGAACAGAATGAAGGATATTATTGAGGATTTCAAGTCTCCCACGTCAACACTGAACCTAACTTAGTTCAACACTGAACCTAACTTGGTTCAACACTGAACCTAACTTGGTTCAACACTGAACCTTACTTGGTTCAACACTGAACCTTACTTAGTTCAACACTGAACCTAAGTGCAATGAGTCCCCAATATGTGTGGCGTTTAAACAAACATCCCACTGACTCCAACAAGAGCTGACAAAGGTTTGAGAGTGAGTGAGTGAGTGAGCTGTCCTCCAGTCTACCAGGAGGATGGGGGTGAAGTCCTCCCTATTCTGACAGGTTCTGTAACAGTTTCAGCCGTCCCGCCTCGTAATCATCCTCATCCACGTTCACCAGCAGCTTAATAGCCTCGTGACCAACTGCCTGCTTCAGGGACTCTACAAAAACAAAAACAATAGAACAATAGAACAATTATGCGAGAAACCTATGACTTTATTAACTATAAGCAGACCTGTATTGTATTAAACAAACACCTTTCTAGTTTGCCGGGGTTATGAATTGTTTGTTTGTTGTAATTATGTCTTTGTGAGTGAGTGAGTGAGTTGGGTTTAATGCTGCTTTTAACAGTATTCCAGTTATATCACGGCATGTCAGCTTAATGTGGGAGGAAAGTCCGAAGTGATGCAGGTCTCAGACGTTTACCACTTCGAGCACAAGCTCATGAGCACGGGTATGGTGCTGACAAACCTAGAAACATAACCGGGGCGAACCGGGATTCGAACCCACAATCATAGGTTTCTGGCGAGCCAAAGGGACGCAACTCTGCAGAGCGAAACGAGACGCCTTAGATGACTGGGCCACCCGTGCCCCTTGACCCATTTAAAATCTTATAATACGTAATAATGAAGGGGAGGTGAAATTGGGTTTAACGTCGCGTCCAAGATTATTGCGATTATATAACGACGTGCATGCACGTGTATGTGTGTGTGTGTGGCTGCTTGTACTAGTCCGGACTGATGCCGATTTATAGTGCTAGCCCACTGAGATACCATGCCGCAGTTTAACATGGATACCCCACTCAGACACAGTATACTGACTCCGAGCCGACCAGTCCTTATTTTAGCCCCTTAATGCCGAGCGCCAGACGGGGTAACAACAAGTACAATCTTTTAACGTCTTTTGGTATGACGTGGTCGGGGATCGAACCCCGGACCTCTACCACTAGACCACGGAGGCGGTCTAATAATGTAGGACCACTGAGGGTGACTTATTAGCTGGCTGCTGCAATGGGGATCTATTCTGCCCCAAGGGCAACAGCCCCAACAAGGGCCTTTCAAGCAGCTGTTTCCACCCATTAGGCCTCCCTGACGAAGAATGACAACCCACCTGTGATGAAGACTCCCTTGAGGGCCTCTAGCAAGGAGCCATTGATGTAGTCTCTCCAGAACGCGTCCAGGTACGTGAGTTCAGAGAACTTAATGTCACAAATGATTGATCCCAAATCTCGGGATTTCAGTATCGTGTTAGCTTGAGCAAACTTTTCAAACTGTCTCTCGATAAGCTCCGGTTTATTTGAAAACACATTCCCATCTAAGGCATTCTCATGTTGGCAGTATTCCGCTCTGACACGCAGACGGATATCTGGGGAAGAACAAAAAATCAGTGAGTAATGGTGTTAAGACTAGAGTGAGGGAGTGAATGAGTTGGGATGAATGTCGCTTTGAACAGTACTTCAGTTATATCACGGTGTGTCAGCTTAATGTGGGAGGAAAGCCCAAAGTGATGCAGGTCTCAGACATTTACCACTTTGGTGAAACCAACAAGTACGGATATGGTGCTGTTAACCCAGGAAACATAATAGGTGTCACAGGATTTGATCATAGGTTGCTGGCATGTCCAAGGGACGCAACTCTGTACAGCAAATTGTGATGACTGGGCCAGCTGCGCCCGTTTCGTATAGGCCGATCACACCTACAACATGTGGCCTGCACGGGTGACGAGGCCAGTGGTTTGTGGGGGAACGTTGATCCATACCGTTTGGGGGACACGATGACACACATTCAGCCAGGTCTGGGGGTGGTCTTCCTTGGTGGTCACCCAGCCAAGTACTATACAAACACTGCAGCCCATCACTCATACACAGCATCCTCCAAGTCCTGCACTCTGCAGCAAAACAGAAGAAAAGCCCGGGGGTAGGAGAGAGCACACACTCTTCTTCAGTCAGGATGGCCCAGAGTTCCAGATAAGCTTTTGGTGTTGTGGGTATTTTACCCATGCATATAAATCATTTGGTATCAGTTATTCTATCTGGGTATTCAAATTTCTGTTACCCACTAGTTTTTACACATGTGGGTATTTAAGTTAAATATTTAAAAACACTGTTCATCTAGTCCCTGCAAACTGGTGTCATGTGGGTTCGAGAGCTTTATAGGACGATACCACGATACTTCCACAAGAAAGTGTGATGGCAAATGATCATGATGTAACTGTCATCATGGAGTTCGGCAAGGTTGACGGAATGCCGGTTTATAATTTCAAAATAAGTTGCTGATTTGCTAATTGAATACGCAGGGTTACTTCACAATATTTTGATGATACGCACAAGTTATATTTTTGTAGGGTATCTGTAATGTTTGTTGCGTATTTGATACGCTTGGATTGTATTTTACTGCGTATTTCCGCATTTCTGATGCGTATTTTATACAGATACGCAGCTTATCTGGAGCTCTGATGGCCTCTTGAAAATATGGATATTTAATTCCAACTACCAAAATTGGTAACAAACGTCATATTTGGGACAACACTTTCTTAGTAAAGTACAGATTCTAGTGCTTTTTGGGGTTGAGTCCCACTCGGGATTCAAACCTGCACTACCAGAGTGGGGCACTTAATTGCAAGCACACGAAGTCAAGGATCTAACCCTCTCAGTCACTGAGGCTTCCACTTTTAGGCTTCCACCAAAACGGAAGTCTGACAAGTGGTAGTCTAGACCATGTACCTTTTGTACCATACAAAACCTGGTGTTTCACAAACTCGGTCACTAAAGTGCACTATGTCACTGAGTGAGTGAGTGAGTGAGTGAGTATGGTTTTACGCCGCTTTTAGCAATATTCCAGCAATATCACGGCGGGGGACACCAGAAATGGGCTTCACACATTGTACCCGTGTCGGGAATCGAACCCGGGTCTTCAGCGTGACGAGCGAACGCTTTAACCACTAGGCTACCCGACCGCCCTACTATGTCACTGATCCTGAATGCTTTACTGATACCTCTTGTTTTTCAACATGAAATAAATACAATTACCATGTACATATATAACTATTTATGTCTTTCTTGCAGTGAGTTTGCACTTAAATGATAACAAGGGCATAAAGTGTTCAAAAACAAGTCTGAAATACTCTAACTGAATTCCAACAGAGAATAAAGGAAATTGATCTCTCATAAAGCTTCATAAACAAGAGGTCACCCTGACTGATAACATACCAATAGCATTAAACCATACACAAACATCAACTACACATTCTTATATTTTACGTTACTCTGGAGTCAGCATTACAGAAATATTACTGCCTAAGTAGTTGATAATAATGTGTTTTGAGATTCTAGTTGTTTGGAGGAACAGATTTCAAATGAAATCACAAAACATTCACATCAAATCTTCCATGGCCTCAAATGTGAAAACATGTTTTTATTGTTTATTTCAGGTAGTACTCTCTATCTTCATGTACTGTAACCACGGTAACAGCTGTAAGAGAAATGATGTAACTGTGGAATGCAGCGATGTCCTCAAACAAGAGATGACAAATAAACCACCTGTTGCAGTATTCAATGAAAAATCAACAAGGGTCAAATTGAATAATAATAATAATAACAATGCCTGCCAAATAATAAACATGTGTACTAACTATATGAACAGTCTACTGACTATTGGAAGTCTACTGACCATTTGAAGCGTCTACTGACTATATACACAGTCTACTAACTATATGAACAGTCTAACAATATGAACAGTCTCCTTACTATTGGAACAGTCTACTAACTATATGAACAGTCTACTAACTATATGAACAGTCTACTGACTAGATGAATAGTCTACTGACTATATGAACAGTCTACTTACTATATGAAGTCTACTAACCATATGAACAGTCTACTTACTATATGAACAGTATACTGACTACAAGAACAGTCTACTGACTATATATTTGTTTTGTTTGTTGTTTAATGCCGCAATATTCCAGCTATATGACGGCGGTTTGTAAATGATCAAGTCTTGATCTATGCAATTGGGATACGATTGACAGTCTACTAACTATATGAACAGTCCACTAACTCTATATGAACAGTCTACTGACAATATGGAGAGTCTACTAACTCTATATGAACAGTCTACTTGCTGTATATGAAAAGTCTACTTGATGTATACGAACAGTCTACTGACTAACTGAACAGTCTACTAACAAAATGAATAGTCTACTAACTATTTATGAACAGTCTACGAACAATATGAACAGTCTGCTAACTATATGAAGTATACTAACAATATGAACAGTCTACTAACTTTATGAACAGTCTACAAATTAAATGAACAGTCTACTAACTATGTGAACATTCTACTAACAATATGACCAGTCTACAACCTAAATGAACAGGCTACTAACCACAGGTTACTTTCTTCTTTATCTCTTCCTCCTCTTCTTCTCCTCCTTGCCTCTGCTCCACCTCCTGTGGGGAAGCACATGGCGGCTCCACCCTCTCACACTTCCTGGCACTGTTCCTCCTCCTCCTCCTCTTGGCTGCACCTGCTGCATCAGGCTGGTCAGTGTGTCTGGAGACGCTGAGGCATGAGGCACAACCCACACGCTTCCGGGAGGTTGGTAGCCGGGATGTGCTGTCTTCCAGGTATTCATCTACTGGGTCCGGCTCAACTGTCAACCACAAACACAGTGTTAAAAGCTCAACTGTCAACCACAAACACAGTGTTAAAAACTAACAGTTTTCGTTCACTAGTCCTTATAATGATAACATATAGCAAAACCCTTAAAATGGGCCAATGTCTACTAGTCCTTATGATACCTTTACCATTGGGCAGTTTGTAAAGGACTATAGGACTAGTGCCAATTTCTAACGCTGCAAACATAAGACCTATATTGAAACCAGGATGGAAGACCCCTTGAACCTGCTACTGCTCATCTCACTCAAGTCAAATCAGTCATTCCATATGATGCCTCTCTGAGTGAAAATTGACAAACTCATGAGGTACCGTCAGGTGAACTTTCTGATCACTCAATCGGAATCAGTGTCAAGGCTTCCAATTCTTGGTATGATTGTTTGAAACTCATGAGTTGTTTGTTTGTTGTTTAACACCACACTCAGCAATATTCCAGTTATATGATGGCGGTCTGTAAATAATCCAGTCTGGACCAGACAATCCAGTGATTGATATCATGAACATCGATCCACGCAATTGGGATATGATGACATGCATTAACCAAGTCAGCGAGCCTGACCACCTGATCTCTTTAGTCGCCTCGTATGACAAGCAAAGTCGCCTTGAGCAACTTGACACTTCAGAACAGCAATGCCTCATTTCTGCACATCAAACACAAATGGACATTTTCGAATGGAAAGCTATAGAGATCACGCTATAGATATTGTGGATATCTTAATCTCTGTCCTTACTGACCACCATTGCATCAAGACCAAAAAATTGTACAATTGAGGAAATATTTGTGATCTGTGTGGGTTTTCTTGTGCTACAATCAAATGTCTGATTTGACATGGTTAAGAAATGATGCAAATCAATTTAGCATCTGATACATGTAGGTTAAAAAAACATGTATCCCTTATTAAAATTGGTATAGATTAAATATTGGGGAACTGATAATAAAATGTCTGCGTACAACTGAATTGGGACTAGTCTGAAGCTTAAGTCTCTTAACAATAACAGGCTATTGAATGTAACTAATGAAGCCAATTGTAATGATGATCATGATGATATATACATGCACTAATAAATATTCTGAAAGATTAGGGGAGTAGATCTAGTGCACTTTTGGGGATTTCAATAAGCAAGGCCTGGAGGATCGGAACTCACATTGACAGCTTGAAGCTAGGCTCATGAGTTAATCTAATTCGACAACACCCTACCACGGGACCATGGATGCCATCACAAATAACTAGTGCTTGAATTAAAGTCATCAGCACCCAATTGTTTACCTTTATGCACACTCAAAACTTGATAAAAAGTGTATGGAGTTTAAACAAGAAATCAAAAATGATTTCGTTCCCCCACATCATGATGTCACAGACTAAGAATTAATTTAAAAAGAATGAAAATTTGTGACATGGGCCTGTGTGTGTGTGTATGACAGGACCACTCTGGCCCAAGTGGTTGCCATGTCACCACCGTCATGCAACACCAACTGACCAAAGGTAAACAATTCAGATATTTGCACCATGAAAAAACATGCTCATGATTTAAGAAATCAAATATATCAATAAGTCGTTTATTATCAGTGAAGTATGGAAACGGACCCTCCACAACAACTATACTGTCCTAACGTTCATTTATGGCACGTAGGCCGATGTCACCTATGCACGGACAAAATGCGTTTCAAATTGTTTACTTTTGAATGTTCAGAAGTAAACATTGCATCAAATTGAAAATGAAGTCCTGATGAAAGGACAAAATTGGTACGAGGTAATAATGTTTCATACCAGTCTTTCTCCTCCTGAGCGTTAAGTGTTGAACGAGATCCTGTCTGGTTAATATTCGCAAAAGTTCTAAAATATGCTTGAAATTCGATTCGTCAATTCTTCCCAGCCTCTCCAGGCTCAACAGAAAACTGTAGCCATCTTTGGCCTGGAGAAAGAAATCGTTCGCATGGTAGAGACCTCCGTAGATAAATGTTAAAGCTTTAATGTCGTCGGGTGTAAGCTGATCTCCGATAATGCGGAACATTTCATGTAGGGCCAAAGCATCGCCAACTAAATTTTTCCCGTCGGAGACGATGGACGCCATTTTGGAGATGAAGAAAATACGACTCCGCAGTTAATATTGATCCACGCGAGTAAAGAACTTAAAATATGTATTTTATATATATACAAAATTGTGTGAACGTCATAAAAAATTGTAATTGAATTTGTCGGTCTTTGTTTTCAAAACGTTTCAACCAATCATATTGCGAATGTACAATATCTCCGAGGCATGACACTGCTTTACAGACAACTAAGACAAGCTCCTTTATACACTGTGAGTGGGTAGCGAGCAGAGACGTCTTCAGTTGTCGCTAACCAGCCTATGTGGTTTAAATACGGCCCCGAAATAACATCTATCATTTTCTTATCATCTGTGCCGCTCACATGTTAAGATAGTTTCAAAGCATTCGCACGATCATTCAGAAACGAGCTGTCAGAGTATTATTCCCGTGATATACATGGAACTAAGATCTTAGTCGTACACAAATGAAAGGAGGGACGAATGAATGGATGACTGAACGAATGGATGATGGATGAATGATCTTTATTTCCTCCATTAAAGTCCGAGAGTCATTGTAGCTGACGTTGATTATGATTGTGAATTCATAAGCACCACACAGATGAGTGAGTATTGTTTTACGCCGCTTTTAGCAATATTCCAGCAATATCACGACGGGGGACACCAGAAATGGGCTTCACACATTGTACCCATGTCGGGAATCGAACCCGGGTCTTCCGCACGATAAGCGAACGCTTTAACCACTAGGCTACCCGACCGCCACACAGATCGGGACATTACAGTGAAGAATTCTACAATAACAGCAGAGAACTAGAGCTTTAAACGTCACACACTGATCTGGCCGAGTGCGCAGTTAACATGGGTGCATAATTGTCAATCACACACACCTATTAACGTACCAACAAGGACAGAGAAGAGAGAATTGTTCCACTCAGGGATTCCCAATGAAAGGTAGTTACAGTCAAAAATCGTGAAAACGTCAAAATGTGAAGTTTATACTTTGTAAACGTCACTTTTTGAAGTTTGTTGAAAAATAAACGTGTCATGTGATCAGCAAATAAACCAATCAAATCCTCGAAAACCCATTAAACTTGAAAATAAGAATTTATATTGGAAAAAAAGGGTCAACCGACGCACCGAAAGAAAACAACACCTGCCTTGAATAAACGGTCGATCAAACATTATATGAAAAAATTTGCTTGAAACAAAAGTATGAAAATTATACCTTGACGAAACCGGCTCTCTATATTAAACGCCCGCCTTGAAAAACCCCGGCTGGTCAATAGTTAGATGGTAAGAGAGGACGTTTGAAAAACATTATTGATACAACCGCCTCTCTGAATTAAAAAAATGCCCGCCTTCAATAAACGCCTGGTTAATAATTAGATGTTAAAAGAGGACATTTGAAATAAAATACACAATTGCGAGTTTATGGACCTTCCGAAATTTATAAACCCTCGGTAATTATTCAAGGATTTATTATATATATTTATTTCACGTACACGGACGTATAATGTACAAGTGAGTGAGTGAGTTGGGTTTAACGCCGCTTTTAACAGTATTCCAGTTATATCACCGCGTGTCAGCTTAATGTGGGAGGAAAGCCCGAAGTGATGCAGGTCTCAGACGTTTACCACTTCGGTGAAACCCACAAGCACGGGTATGGTGCTGACAAACCTAGAAACATAATTGGGGCGAACCGGCAGCTGTTGGTGGTTCCGGACATTTAAAATTTTGTGGGACATTTTGGGAAACTAATCTCCGAGAATGTTACTTAAATTTAAGTCTGGTAAGTCTGGTAAGTCTGGTATGTCTGGTAAGTTGAGTTGTGACCTGACACTTAACCCCTTAGGACTAGGTATGAGGTCCGCCCACAGACGCGTACCACTGTGAAGAAAGGGGTAGCGGGTGGTCCGCGACAAGTAGTACGATGCATATGTGCGTGTCCTGTCTCGGCTAACAACGAGTTCTAGTGAAATAACACATAATAGAACGTGCTGATGTGAGATACCCGATGACTGTAAAGACGGTGACAACAAATTTGCATAGAGAACAACAATCGAGAAGTATCGTGACAACGAAGGGAATATAATTGCTGTAAAAACTGAATACCTTTTACCCAAAAGAGCAATAATGAATAGTGTCATGTCATTCATCAAATGATTGTGAAAGTCGAGGCCTTAACGTGGTGATAGTTGACTCAATGACATACTCCTTAATCCCATGTGATTGTTTATGGGGCTTCAGCATACTGTAAACGTAATATTGCTAACTGGATTTATAATGAGATAACCATCTTCCCGAGGCAAGAGAGTTAACTGACTTTTAAAGTCCAGTTTCCACCCTTGCCGAACTAGGCTGGAATTAATGGGCTCGATCGTAGCGCCACCAGTGGCTATTACCAGTTATGTCCCTTCTAAGCCTCTCCTATGGACCAATCAGATTCCACTTCTCGTATCACTTGTGTTTGCTTCACACAAAATGGTGGCGCCCAGTCAGGACGATCTGATCGATAATAAAGATCTATATTGTGATAAAACGGGTCTTACATCGCGAAATGCATCAAATCACGTGAGCACCTTGATTAAAAACATGAAAAGATTTGGAAAATATCTGCTGACAACGAGTTGGCGGTGCACATGTTTTGCAAATCCTGCAATCGACCGAAATCTGCATGATAGTTTATGAACCGAATTTCGATTTCGGTGCGCGATTTTGATTGGACTATGCATAGACTCGTTACTCCAGCCAAACTGTAACTCCATAATACCAGCCTAGTTCGGCAAGGGTGGAAACTGGTTTTTTAAAGTCAGTTAACTCTCTTGCCTCGGGAAGATGTGAGATAACTGGATAACCATAACTCTAGTCTTCATATTTTGATGTCGTTCAGCGAAGACACAGACAGAAGCGTGGCAATGCTAGCCTTTGACAATGCTTGAGATTTATTTGTACATTCTTCTCCGTGTAATTTATCACATTACAGACCAATCCTCGAGCCTGAGAATGTATGAATTGGCCATGCTTACCTAACTTTGACGTGTTTGTTTGTTTGTTTGTAATTAACTTCCATCAAACGACTTTAAGCGAATTCTGGTATCGAAATTCTGGTATTGACTTGTCGACCCGTGATCATCCGGGGTAGAATAGGTCTTCAGGAACCAATGCTTGCCGTAAAAGGCGACTATGCTTGTCGTAAAAGGCGACTAACGGGATCGGGTGGTCAGGCTCGCTGACTTGGTTGATGCATGTCATCGATCCCAATTGCGTGGATCGATGCTCATGATATTAATCACTGGATTGTCTGGTCCAGACTCGATTATTTAAAGACCGCCGTCATATAGCTGGAATATTGCTGAGTGCGGCGTAAAACAACAAACCAAAAAACCAAATGGTATCGACTTGTCACATCGACCTCATACTAGTCTTATGAGCAACCTTGTGTCCACGGGAGCGTAGTCATATCATCGTCATGGCCTGCACGTGCACAACATGCTTACACCCTCTACCTGTAACAAACCAAATATGTTTGCCCACATTCTGTGTACCGCCTCTGTCTCAAACGTGTTTTGTGAGTTGGTGCAACTTATCATTGATTCCTAGCAGGATGTTTTTCACAGTGTTAAACATTGTCATAATTGAACCCAAACCGTGACGTCACGTCATCCATTAGCTGAAGCTGTCCTATCAAAATTATTTATCCCTTGGGTGATGTGAAATGAGGTTTAACGTCGCGTGCAAGATTATTGGGTGCGTGTGATACGTGTGTGTCAGTTATATAGTGCTAGTTTACTGAGATACCATGCGCACCCCCGCACCCCTACTCTGTATCCGCCAATGAATGTCGAACACTATGTTACAGTCAGTAAAAGTGTGTGAAGTAGCTGTAAAATCTGTATCGCTACTTGGCCACGTTAAAGGGAGATAAGTCTCCTTGGTCTGGTGTCTCGTTTCTGCCTTGTGTTTGACAATCACGAGTACCTCGTATACTTTGACAGTACCTATGTGTGATTTTGTTTGTTTGTTTTGTTTGTTTGTTGTTAAAGCCGCACTCAGCAATATACCAGCTATATGACGGCGGTCTGTGAATAATCCAGTCTGGACCAGACAATCCAGTGATTGACATCATAAGCACTGGTCCAGTAAGTCGCCTCTTACGACAATGATATTACATTAATCGTTTGATTTATATACACTAGAAATGTAACAAGCCGGCAAACAAGTAGCGTTCGAGGGCCTTTACTCAAATTTGCTGGCAATTGGCCCAATGTGAGATGAATGTTTTCTTCTGTTTGCGGAGTCAACAATCTGAGACATGCGCCTCAAACAGAAATTTAGATACAAATTGTCTAAAGGTATTTCTATTTCCCAGAAAGCTTAGAAACATGAAACGATACAAGGTAAAGTAAATGTTTAAAATGTAAATACTATGATTAAATGCATATATGTATAGCGTATCGCCTCTGATCACTTCATAACCTTACGCGGCAGATCACTTAAACAATGTATTCATACGCTGTTGTTCTTCACTGAGTGAAATTACATCTGAAACATTGATTTTGTAAGATTATTGCAAGAACGATGTTTCCGTATCGTAAATATATCATATGTAAGATGTAGAAAATACGTTTAAATGCTAGCATTATACGATTTTTGTCCCTAATGATATGATATTTACGATATGGAAACCCGCTCGGCTAACAATCTCTGCATACGTGTTGCTATACAATACAGAAAACCCATCGCCATCAACACAGCTGAAGTTTCTGCACTGAACTGACAACCAACACAATTTCCAATTAAAATTTCATTTTAATTTCGAACCTATTTTTAAAAATAAAATCCGTAAATAAAGAATTAAAATATAATCGTGATCATTAGAAGGAAAGACGGAACCCGGTTTGACACTCGTTTGTTGCGCCATCGTGTACTGATCCTGCGAACCCGTGAAGATCCGGGGTAGAATAGGTCTTCAGCAACCCATGCTTGCCGTAAAAGGCAACTATGCTTGTCGTAAGAGGCGACTAACG